AGGTGCATAAGTATTTAGTTTGTTACAGTCAAAAATATTTAAATTTTCGTATTATTAAATTTTCAAGCTTAAATAACGTTCGATAAATATTACAGTAATTTCTCTTTTTTTGTTTTGTCTTTAAAATTTTTCACTGTAATCGTATGTTATTAAATTTGCAATTTTTCTCTTTTCCATAAGTAGTTCATAATAATTAATAGTTATTATTTTTTGTAGTAACTTAATATATTTATTATATTTTATGGAAACGTAAAATCACGCGTTTAAATTCAATTTTATTACAACAATTAATAGAGATTTGATATAAGTAAATAGAGAATTCAATTGAAAAGTGCATCTGCGACTCGGACGATTTATATGTCAGGCTATTTTATCACTTTATTGTATGATTAATATAGTTTTCTTTTTGTTACAGGTGATCATCGCTGGATTTATTATCTACTCGTTTTGATTTTCTTCTACTTTTTAAAATATATATGTATAAAAATCGCATTTCTGAAGGCACACACTTGTTTATACTTTCCTTTTTTATATTAATTTAAATAGAATTATTTTATTTTTTGTGTATAACAATATGACTATAGTATTGTATCGGTATAACTGCATTTTTTCATAATTTCTTACCGTTATCGCGTTAAGTACCTGCTATCGCGCACGTGTGGTTCCGGTTCTAACTCAGGTGAGCCTGGGTAGATAAAAAAGTGGATTTGTGAGCTTTAATGTAGTTCTACTGTATTCTGTGGTTAATCATGTTACACGTGAACAAATTATCGACAGAGATTACACTCATTTTAAAAATAAGCAAAAGTATTGAAATTATTAATGGCCACTTGTCAATTACGGTCTCCTATCAAAGATATTTGTGTAATTATTGAAAATATGTTTGAAAATAAATTATAGAAATTAACATTTAATATCGGAGGTTTCTACGTTATCGATACTAATCATCGAATAAGGCAGATATCACAGCCTGCTTATGCAATGTGTATTAAATGTTATCTGAACTGGGGTCAAACATAATTTTTTTAACTAACTCCTTTTTCTTCTGCAGTGTTGCGTGCACAGTGTGTGTGACTCCTGTATATACATTTTCATAACAATTGTTACTCTCCGTTATGACACAAGTATTAATTTAACATTTTTTATATGAAAAATGTCGTGCAAATTTGTAGATAATATAGGTATTTGTATATTTGTAAAAGCTTACGCATGGACGGCACATATATCCCTCGCTCTAATTTAAGCGAAAGGGTATTAATTATAGCTTTGAGTAAGGGTTTATATCTTTCTCTTTTTTTTTATCATTTTAGATATAAAATAAACTCGGAATACATTTCTATTTTTGAAGGTTAAATATATGCTTTGTGTTGGCTGTAACGAATAAATTTTTCGATGGAGTTTGCGTAGATGAGCGCATGCTTGATACACCGCACTAGAAATATATGTTAATCGATAAAACTTATACAACGAAACGAACAAACGGAATGTTGTCGGAGTGTACACTTTAATTTTTGCAGCTTTTATATTACTTATAAAAGAAATATCTCATTACGATAAGGGTTGTATTAGTTTTCTTTTCGTCGATTGTAAGTGGATTATCGTTTTGGTGAACAATGCATATTCAATAAATAGAAATTACGTAAAAATAGCAAGACATATTTACATACTCTGTACAAACAACGTAATAGAATAATCGTGATAATAGAATACTGTGGCTAGAAGAAATTACCAACGGAAACAAATCTAATTGTCCCATAATTAAATCTGAGCCTTTAAACTTATGAGAAACTTATGGCATAATAATTGCAAGAAAATACATGTTTCATTATTTGTTCCATTTAAAATATGATCCAAGCATGATCTAGAAGTGATCCATCTTAATGTCCGTTAATATTAAAATTTAATATTACTGTTAAGTAAAAACGTGCTATTAGAAAATACGTAAAACATAAATCTTAAATAAAATTGTTTACAAAATAATGTTTTGCACAAGCAAAATATAATTTTTATTTATCCTAGACGTAATACTGATAAATAAATGCTGAATAACGTATCGCTTCTACGTAATTAGACGAAAACAACACTTTAATTTGTTTTAAAAGAACTATTAACCGTGTCTTGGCATAATTCATATTGTATTCCATTGTATGCGCTAATGTTAAAATGTATTCAATTTTATCGAAAAATGGTTATCGACCAATAGACTAATTGTAATGGTTTCTATATCAAGGAAAATGAAGAGAAATACGATCATATTATTTTAATATATTTGCTAGTTTCTGTTTCATTGGCTGATCTTTATTTAATTTCACTGACACATCGTTTTTTTATCACATATATTATAATCATTTTCTTTGAATAAAGTTTGACCTTGCTGGTAACTATTCCATTAAGAAGATTTGTTTTGTTTTATGCATAAAAGTAATTTTATTCTGAGATAGGATTGGTCACAAAATAAATTAAAAGAAATGTAAAGCGAGACATAAAAGGTAAGAGATGGAATAAGTTGCCGTTCAGTTGAATGCAGACAGGCAACGTTGAAGGACGAGTCAAGAAATAATAACGTTAGTGAAAAAATGGAAGATAATAAAATAGAAGAAAAGGAGAAGACGAAAGGGAAAGAGTTTCGATCGGTTATCGACAAGTTATACGATAAAAATGATCTTGAAAATAAATTTACCGATCAATGTTATAACGGAATAGAAAAGAAACTCGACGATATCTTTGAAAAAGATTCGAATCCTCTGTCAGAGTTCCAAAAAAAATTATTATACTTTTTGTATTTGCCTATTCATACCAATAACGAAGTTTTGGAAAAACAGGATTGGTTGGATATTGTCAAATTTGAAAAAGGTCAACAGTTTGCTCGCGACAACCTAACTGGAATATTTTTATCACAGTTATACGGTTTGATCTGTTTGTTGTGCCATCAAGATGGTTTGAATACTTTGATAATGACGCAAAAATCTCACACTCCTTACCTAGCCTTCAAAAGGTAGCATTTAAGCGATAGATTTTGTTTGATTAAACGATAGATTTTGTTATTTGATTAAACTATATCATCTTTTAAGGTATTTGTCAACGTCGGAATATATTCGCAATTGGTACAAGGAAAATCCTTGGAACAAAGATACGAAAGCTCATAAGGGTATTCTAAATGTGAGAAAAATGCATTTCGGTGTAAGAACAAAACTCGTTGGAATCGACGAAAATAAAATAAAAGAGATCTCTGCTATAAAGAATCCCCACTGTCCTGTATTTCAACCTATAATCGATGATTTTTCTACGAGGTTGCCTAATGATTCTTTTTCGGATTACTGGTACGAGAAATATTATCACAACGGTATTTCAACAAAAACATCGAAACTAAGAAGTCTTAATCAAATGGATACGAGCTATACTCTTTTCGGTTTTATGGGCTTTGCCATACTTTACCCTAGTTATTTTGGAATTGATGAGAATGATGATGAAAGTCTGGAAAACTTTTGTTACGTTTGGAGGTGTATCGGTTATCTCTTAGGAGTCGACGATCAGTAAGTTAGGACGAATATACATACATATAATTATAATGATTAGACGAAATATGGTTCGAATTGATGCTGGTTCCTGGTTTACAACTCTTACCAGTGTGGATTTGAATCGACATTATACTAATGTTAGACGCACGACACAATTACTTTCTAATACCGAGTTTATCCCAGACAATAATGAGTTTTCTTAGATAGAGGTAAACCAAACATTTTTATAACTCGGAAGACTTGGCGCGTAATAACACATTACTTGCAGATTGTTTCCTCTTCCTGATTTTGTAACTCGTTGTTTGAACAAAAATCTAAGATCTTAAACATTCTCTTCTCAAATTCTAATCCGTAAATGTGACTATTGTTCACTTTTCATTTAAAAAATCTTATAACAAAATTATTCGAGTTTAATTAGTTTTATGTTTTCTGTTTTCGATAAGGACAAATATATGTTGTGGTAGTTTGAAAGAAATAAAAAATCGGTGTCAAGTCTATATAAACGATATCGTCAAGCCTGCATTACGACGAATTAGCCCACAATGGGAACATATGATGAGATGCATCATCGAAGGACATCGCTATTTTTTAATGGTTCCGAGCTTTGAAACAATAATATTACTATTTTCCGAGATGTTGGATCTTCAAATGCCAGCTTTTTACTCCTCCTTGACGTTTCTTCAAAGGATGGAATATTATTATATGAAGTAAGACAAATATTTTTTTGTTTATATTGAGATTGTTATACATTTGTTTCTTAACCCTTTCCGATCGGAAAATTTCTCTGATAGGAGTATCATCAACTAGTCGGAAAAAATGTAGCTTTTTGTAATAATTTTTCCTCTAGTTTCATGATAATTAATCGTGCCATTAATTTCTATGACGACGTACGGATGTAATCACAATTAAAACATTAATTGCGAAAGGCTAACATTTGCATAGGAGTCACGGGATATCACGCATATATAATTAAGCAAATATTAATATATCGATTATGCACGCGTATCGAACTCTTGCATATTTTTATGACAAGTGACTAACAGTATAAAAAACAATGTGACTAACAAAATAAAAAACAGTCGGTTACTATTATTATTATGTCAATAGCTAATCGTACTTTTTATAAAGTGTTTTATCGTTGTTGACAATTCTCGTATTGATTATTTTACAACATGGACCCTAATCCTAATTAATATGGCAACAATTATAATAATAATAATAATAATAATAATAGTCTTGAAAGATAGATATGCTGACCATGTGCAAAAAAATCATTTACAGGTTTTCGTATTTAATTTATTTCAGATATTTCCTTCGTTTTCTGATGAAATTTAAATTTATGCGATATCTCGCTAACAAAAGTCTTAATCAGGCTATTGACAAAGCTCTTCATTTTGATCATGCAAAGATTGCTGAATTGCAAGCAAGATCAATGAATTCACCGTTGCACGTTTCCGTTGGTAACTAATATCGAGTATTTTTAATATATCTCTCAAATATTATTACGTTTCTCTTAAATGAAAAAGAAAGTTCGATTTGACAGCAATAATAAAGAAAATGAAGAACAAAGTATCAAACGTTTTGGAAATAAATTAATTCTGAGAAAAAGCCACATTACTTTTACTGCTTCATACCTAACCTTGTGTCCTTTTTTTCTTCGCTAATTCTACACAGAGATATGCTAAAATATGTATATTAAATTCTAAAAATTCCATTGCTATTTTGTAAAAAAAGGTCAAAAGATAGATTTAAAATGAACGTAAAAGTTGAAAGAAAGTCTGGATTGCGCATGCGCTATAATGTATTACGTGTTCGTCTAATGTCGATATCATTCAAAACTCCCGCCAATAAGGTAACGCAACATTTTCGAGATTTGAACTTTCGATTATTATCGAACGATACGACTGTCCAATGACGACGCAGTAAGTCACGTCGATCTAAGCGCCTAATCTATCTATATAGATATATATATGCATTGCTACTTACGTGTAAACATAATATATACTTATGTATCTCCTTTGACTCGCCTAATTGTATTATTCGTTCAACATCTTCAAATCTTTTTCAGGCGATAATAAAAATAGAATTAATCGCGATATGACGTTTAGATAATTAAAGAATAAGATGATTAAGCATGCGTCAAAGTACAAAAATGGATTCGAATCTGGATTAAAATTCGTTCAAGTTATTTTTTAACTAATTCAATTATAGATCGCAGAAATATCGATTAATTAGTAATAATGCCTCCGAGTCGTTTAGATGCCGTTTACAGAAGTATCCTTCTAACTAAGTTCTTTACAAAGGGATGGGGCAATCCCCATAATTTGAAAAGGCAAGTAAAATTGGTTATACTTCTATATAACAGAGTTCATAAATAAGAGTAGTTAATAATAGTTGAATGAGATTAAGATGAAATATTTGGTCCAACGATATACAATAATAATGTAGATTTAATTTCAGGATATTTGAATTTAGGAAAGTTATAGCGAATCGAGAGACTTGTTACAATCTTATACCTCGTAATTATCCAATAAATATAACCAAAGTAAGTTGAGACTAATAATTTCAGATTGAAATATTGTCATGGCTTTTTTTTCGTCTCTACTTAACAGGACGAACAATGGTCCGATTGCCATGTAATAGAAGGTTCTTTTACTTCGCCTTTTGATCAATACCTCTCAGGAATGATGCCGGAAAAAATAAAAACTGCATATTTTCAAGTTATTTTACCGCACAAATGGGACTCGAACAAAATAAAGCCTATTTGTTTACATCTTGCGGGAACAGGAGATCATGTATGTTTTTGATTCAACGTCATCTTTAATCCATTTGACATTTGATAATTGGCCTTTTTATGTAATCACATAAAATTCGGATCACGCTTATGATTTGTGACTTTTGAATCAGTTTTTTTGGCGACGGAGAAACTTAATTGCTAAGCCACTGCTTAAGGAATCCGGAATCGCTTCTATACTTCTGGAAAATCCATTTTATGGATTAAGAAAACCAAAAGATCAAATGTAAGAAATCAGTTTTTCAAGGTTTGTACTAAATAAAATTATATGACGATTCCGTTGGTCGTTATCATCTTTTTAAATATTTCCTTTTAACATTACATAGACGTTCAAGTTTACATAATGTCAGCGACATTTTTATTATGGGAGGTTGCTTAATAATGGAATCTATTGTTTTATTGAATTGGTGCGAACAGCAAGGATTTGGACCGTTGGGCCTAACAGGTTTATCAATGGGTGGACACGTTAGTATATTTAATTGCTTAATCTACAAAGTTCAAATAATTTCTTATAAATAACTCGTTTATAACCGAATTATTGTATGCTGTCATATTATTGTAATAGATGGCATCATTAGCTGCTACGAATTGGCCAAAACCTATAGTCTTGGTACCATGTCTTTCATGGTCAACAGCCTCGCCTGTTTTTACAGAAGGTGTAATGAGTGCTTCTATAAATTGGAATCTTTTAGAAAATCAATATTTCTCGGATGAAACTTATCAAAATGATCTAGCAAAAATGGTGAAAGTTATAGATGAAGAGGTATGCTTAGTTCCTTCCTTAGAAATACCTTACGGAGCAATAAATATTTTTTAATGTTTATGCATTATGCATTTATAGAGTGCATTCTTAGCTGGGCAACATTTTGCTAAACATTATCCTGCTAGTATGAATAGAATAAATAAATTAAAGGAAGAATTAAAAAAGACTGACGAGAAAAAAGAAAATCTCACCGTAGAAAAGGATGGAAAAGCAAATAATAATATTGACAATAAATCTTTAGATGATACGCATCAAAAGAACAAAGATAATAATTTAATTGGCCAAGCGGCGGAAGAGAAATCTACAGCAAAATTGTTTTCTCTAAATCTTATTTCAAGTAAATTGAAATCAAATGATTTTGAAGCACTTAAGGGTAAGAAATATATGAACGTATAACTGTTGCTTTGAAATGCTCGTGCCATTTGTGTTTCATTTCCTCTTTAACATTAAACAAACGATTACTGACTTTCCTTCATTTAGATAATTATCAAACTGATCATATAATATTTTTGTATATTTCATATTTTCTTACATATGCAGTTGCTTTCAAATATACAGATACGTATACAAATAAAGTACGAAGAACATTTGGTCGTAAGTTTGAATTTTTTCAAATAAATCTAACACATATGTCAATGATTTGAATTTAACCAATCGAATGTTGGAATATTACATTGCAATGTTCAACGAATGTTTGCAAACAAGAATGCACAGAAGCATGATATTATTGAGATTTGTTTGGCAACAGGTGTTTGTTCAGTTCCCGTGCAGAAGAATCCGCTATTTTCAAACGGCAAATGGCGAGAAAGAGAAGCCTTGCAATTTATGCGTGGTATAATGGACGAGTGTACGCATTTAAAAAATTTTGAAGTTCCCGTCGATACCGAACTTATTATAGCTGTCTGTGCGCGGAACGACGCTTACGTTCCGCGAGATACTTGCATGAGTTTAGAACAAATTTGGCCTGGAGTTGAGATACGTTACATCGATGCTGGTCATGTCAGTGCATACCTTCTTCATCAAAAAGTCTTTAGGTATAGAATTTTTTTTCTAATTAACACGTTGAACTCCTTGCCAACTTTGTCTTGTATTTAACATTACAAGTTTAACAATCTTTCAGGTCAACAATCGCGGAGGCATTTCAGCGATCATTGAAAAAATATCCTCTAGATCCTAGTTGACAGCTAAAGATATTTTAATAACAGAATAGATAGTTTCAAAATTATGTTTTCAATCAAATGAACAAATATCTAATCATCGTTAAACGATTATAATCTCCTTAAGAATATGAAGGAAGAAAGTATGTTACACGAAACGTTGCAATTTAATATTTTGAATGTAAACTGAACTGTGGCTTAGCTAAATTTTAGTCAGTTTTATTATACATAGGATATTGATGCTATAGAATTGTATTTTTGGCCATATTTTTTCATTGGGCGAGACTTTACATCTTTGCCATATTTATATAAGAATATACACGTTGATGATATACAAGTTATATGATATATTCTTTGTACATACATATGTTTACATTATCCCCATACACACACACACCACACGCTATAAAATATAAATCACACTTGTTATGACAATAAATAAATAAAAATGTTAAAAATATCGTATATCAAAGAGTATGAAATATCAAAGTTTGGATAGTCAATTATTTAATGACATTAGACATTTTTTCTTTTTAAATAAAATGACGATTTGATAAGCGGAACATAACAATGCAGCAATAATTATATCTAATTTTGCCTAGTAATGAAGTTTTAATCGATCTTTGATTTTGTTATCGTATGCATACAAGGATTACTTTTTCTTGTCCACGATACGCTAATTTTATTTGAATAAACTTTGTATATGGGATTGAAAAATAAGTGTCGAATTAAATTGATGTTTGAAATTTCGCGCGAAATAATCGAAAGAGGAAAGATTAGTAGCGCCATCTCATGAAAAGTATAAAAGAATTAGTTGCACCGTGGTTGCACCGTTGCGCGGTGTGTTCTGTAGTAGCCGGAAGTCAGCTTGGCTCTCTGAAAGCAGAGAGGGCATAGACGGTTACATGTGTTTCACTTACTGCTTTCTTGTGTTAAAATATTATCGAAAATGCCTCGCATTTACGTAATAAACAAGAACTCGGTGCTACAACGATGTTACTAGATGTTGCAAGTCAAAGAAAAAAGAAGCTACGGTGTCGATACGACGAATAAGAAGAAACATTAGGGCGTACGGGTATAACCATAAAAGAAGATAAGTTTCTCCCGGTATTCTACTACTTTTCTTCTACTTCAAATTGTCTCAGCACTTGTGGTATGTACTTATCTGCTTGATCAACGTCTGTCCTATTTTCATTGATACGGAAAGTGCGCGAAGACGATTAAACAGAAAAAAGAAAAAGCAATCTTTCATCGTTATCGAGCAATCCAAATTACGAAAGATTCGAGGTAATATAGACCTCGTGGTGCAAGGCGAGTCACATCTCTCTTTTTCTCTCTCTCTCTCTCTCTCTCCCCCTCCCTCCATATATTAGCATCATTTACATCGAATCAGTAGTACCCATTTCTTTTTCAATAAAGACAATATTCATTCAAATATATAGGTGAATTGTAAAAGGCACGTGGTAGAAGGTTATAGTAAAAAAAGTAAAAGATAGAGGGAGAGATTCTCGCGTCATTTCTCGTGGCACCGTAGTTTTCCTAGCGGTTCTCCCTGCATCGCTAGTAACTAATCCTCCGTCACCAAGAAAAGTCTGGTGAGATAGAGGACGCGCATGCGTAAGAGCAAACTCATACCGGGAAGTAGAAGCACGACGCGACCATAACAGCGAAGACACACGGCATAAGAAGATCGGATCTTCTACGACGTGCGGGTGCATCGTCTTTGCATTTTTTTTTAATAGTCGACGAGCTAAGAAAGAAATTGAGAGAGGGAGAGAGACTTGGGATTGCATTAAGTTAACTGTGTGTTTAAAGACGAGCTAGAGCATGCGGTTATTCTAATTTTCCTTTTTTTATTTTGTTTTTTTTTTTTTTAAGTATTTCACGACGTACAAATACCACATGCGCTCGAAGCGTGGCACGACGATAAAACTCTGTTCTTTATTAAATGCCTGAGTGATCGTTCGTGGTTACGATTGAGATTCACTTTATTTTGATTTGCTACGAAATCGAAAAGATAGATTTGTCGAATCATTCATGAAACCGGCGAATACTTGTGTTATTTTAAACTTCGTCGTAGTTGGAAAGTAAGGATTGTTATTCCATTAAGTTCGTAAAAAAAGTCAAAAAAAGCGAAAGATCTGAGGAAGGAATAACACGTTGAGAAATAAATTGGGGGAGAGAGAAAAAAAGAGAGAAAATTAAAGGTGGGACAACCCGTTTCCTCGTGTTTTTGTCTCCGCGCGGGCGATTCAAGATGGCGGCTAAAGTGGTCAGCAGCAGCGCTCAGGGAAGCACTGAGCGAGAGGAGGGGGGTTCTGGTGTATCCTACGCTAGCGTAGTCAATCCCAAAGCAGCCTCGAACGAGGCTAATACCGCTAGAGTAGTTTCCTCGAATAAAGGAAATAATAAAGAAAATATAGGAGGCCAAATTGCAACTCAGCAATCCAATGGATCTAAAGAGCGCATGGTTTCCCAAAATTATGCTGCCAAAGGTAAATCGTATCAGAGGACTGGAAGAAGATTTGCCACATCCACGCAACCACAGCAAGCGCAGCAACTTAGAGTAGATAAGAGTCACGAGTTACAATTAAGTAGCAACGTATCGGACAAATCTTCCACAATTAAAGAAACCGAGCAACGGTCTCAACCTCAAGCAGATGTATCTACTGCGCCAATATTAGAACAAGATAAATTAAATAATGGGGATATTGGAAGCGATGGAGAGTTTCAAACCGTTGCTCCTAAGAGTGCTCGGAGGAAAGAAAAATTAAGAGAACACCAACAAAAAGATCACGGTGATCGCCATCGACATAAGGATCACAGAAAAAGACTGCGTGGGCTTAGCGACTCTAGCAGAGAAAGAATGACAAAGGACAAAGAACGAATTGATAGAAATGGTATGGAACATACTATTAACAATAAGGAAATTAATAAAGATAAGGATACTAAGGAAGACAGTCAAGCCCAAACATCTGCCCCAAAGAAGTACGTAGAGGCTCCCTTACCTAGAGTCAATGCTTGGACTAAAAAGAAGCCTCTTCAATCCTCCGTTCAACAACCTGTAACTACTTCTAGCACTACGGACAAACCTGTTACAAAGGAGAAAAGAATATTACAACCTCAGCAGCAGCGCGCACAAGGGTTAATAGGTAAGTTCATGAATTTCTTTTCTATTTGAATAAAATTATTTTTCTTTTTAATTTTGCGTCTACGCACAATGATATTGCAGATTAAAGGTATAATCATAAAATGTAGATGTGAATGGGCGTAATGTAAATGATAGAAAAAATTGTCTGAACAATTTTTTGTATGATATTTGTCGGTGACTTTGAAAAATACATCTACATATATATATATTGCGCTACTAATTAATAAGATATAATTAATACTGTTTCTATCGGTAATTCAACAACAGGCACGCTACACGTGCGTACGCATAGTTTGTTAGGATATTCTTTACATAACGTAACTTACAATGAAAATAGAAACACATCTTCGAATTTCGGAATGCTATAAAGATGGCGAAAACTTGTAATTAAATCGTTTTAAAAAAACATCGTCTTATTGCCACGTGGTTGTTCTCTTAGAGGGGGAAGAAAGAAAAACAAGAAATCGTACAAACACGAACGAAATTCGTGGTCCGATTTTATTGCTATGCGAGAGAGAGAGAAAGCTATCTGATAAGCTGATAATGATAATAGTACGATTAAAAAATATATCCAATCGTAGCACGTGTGTTCGAGTTAGCATACGACTATATAGCATACGTGGCACGAAAGTGGACAGGTGGTACAGAATTTCGACACGTTGCTACCTTCTTTTTACAATTTGCATAAAGTCCTTAATTTCTTCCTTCTTTTTTCTTCGTTTGTTTATGTAGAACTTTTTCGTAGGACTTTTTTTTGGGGGAGGGGGTAACATATATTACAAATATACCCCCCTGTACACGTAATTCTTCAAACTATGCCATATCGTACGATGTTTGTTCGATACTTTCTTTCCCTTTTCACCGATAGGACATAAGTAAGGGTTGATCAAAATACGAGGGTAAATTACAAAACCAAAAGTATGATTGGACGATACTTTTTCTTTCTCAAATAAAACAAAATATATTGAATTATAATAGTAGAGCCGTTTTGGTGTATTAACTGCAACGTTGCATTATTAAGATCATCGGAGAGGAAGATGGGGAAGAAGATGCAAACGGATGCGAGTTGGAGGGCAACGACATTGACACTTTTACTATAAAGCAGATAGAAAGAGAAAGAGAGTGAGAGAGTAGTTCACGTAATGCTGTTACGATGAAACGTGCCTAACAATGTTACGTAGCAGTTACGTTCCAGACACACTCTGTCTCTTTCTAATCGGCATTCGCATTTAAAAAAAACCACGCTGCTACTATTCGAGACTCGTTTTCTTCCATCTTCAGCCATCTTAAGTTTCTATTTATTCATTTTCTTCTCGTAACGATCTCACTGACAGAGGTTTAACCATTTTGGTCGTCGTCTTATACTTGTGATCTTCGATCCACATTCAAATGTGTCGCAGAAAGCGAGAGTAGAGAAAAGTATAAACCGGTTTTCGTGATAAAAAAGAACGATAAAATAAAAACTTTCGATCGAAAGGTCAGTGAAATATATCGTATTATCGAAATTGTACTAGTTTCGAAAAGAATTTTCTTTAATTTATTTAATTTTCATTCCTATTGAGTGAAAAATGTAAACGAATTAACGACGGATTGTAAAAATGAACGGAAGACATTTTTTTATTTGATTTTTTGAACAATTATCCTTGACTAGTATCGTGCTCTTCGTGTGTTTGATAAAAAGAAACGAACAAATATTAAAATAGAATCGTAAAAGAATGTTTCAGAAGGACATACGTATATAAAGGAATTTGCATTCGACCAATCATTTTCTTCGATCGACTAGCGTAGTTCAACCGTTTAAAGACCGTTCTCTAATCTTGAGAAATGACTATGCTTAACTTTTGCCTTCTCCGAATATAAAGATATCAAAATCAATATCCAACTATGTTTTGCGCTTATATAACAATTCATCTTTTTTTTTTAAATCATCATCATCGTTATAATAATTATTATTATTATTACTATTACTCGTTTTTCATAGTTAGTCACTAGTTAATTTCGCTCAACGACGTTGCGCAAGTTTTTTGCGCCCAATTTTCTATCATAAAATACGTCGGAAGTATAATTCGGTCGTAAAGAAAAAAGAAGAAAAAAAAAAAAAAAGAAAAGTAGAATGAAGAAGGAAGAAAGATTATTAAAGTATACTCTTCGTTCGTTATTTATGCACGTGCATATCTTTCTCTTAATAAACAAACCGTATGTTTGTCTTTTTGCCGGAAATAAAATTCTCGAAAAACGAATCATCGTCGTGGTTGTTGTCGCGCGTTCGTTTTAGAATTCGTTAGGTATGCCAATTTTACTTCGAATTAAAGTCTCCTTGTATTTAGCAAATGCATCATGTGTTGCCTATTGCTCTCTTTCCTTAAAGTTCCTTTTACTTTTATTATTACCCCTTTTCTCTTCGTTTCTACTAAGAGTTTGGCTGGGAGAATTCTCAGTACACCGTAAATTGCAATCATATTGCAGTTATTATCGGCTAAATGATAAGTACTTATCAATTTTTTTTTTTCAACCACCTATCTTACCTAGAGATTATTTTATTTTATCAAAATAATTCACGCATTAGCAGAAAAATCATCCCCCCATACAGTGATCGCAATCAAAGGGTTAAATCAGTCGCCGTTACGCTACACCGTTCGTGATATTTGACCTTGATTATTTTGTTCGTTAGATTTTTTCCCTTGTTTATTGTCAGCGTGACGGTTTGGTCGAATTTTAGGGTCGAACGCGTGTCTCGTCGCCGCCATCCTTCTTCTCTCCTCTTTCTCAACCAGTTTGGCATGGATAAAAAGCCGTCCCGTTGCCAAGAAATGGTCGGTTAAGAGTTTAAGAAAGATACTAGAATAGAGGAGGGATCGGTGAACCTCCTCCTCTTCCTCCTCCTCCTCCTCCTGGTCCACCCATCACCACCTCTCACGTTTGTTTTAGCTCTTCTAAAATTTCCACCCTCTTGAAATTGAAAACGTCATCGCGTGCCGATTAGATTCGCTATTTTTTCTTTGCTATCACTCTCATCAAATATTCAGATTGATAAGTTAAATTATAATTTTCCCTCTAGGATGATGTTCATTGTCAAATTACTTGTTTTTTGTTTTCTTTATTGGGCTCCTAAAGTGGTACATTTTGTAGATACAAATATTCGATAAACGTTTGCGCATTACCGATAGAAACAGATAATCGAGGTCATAGTTTAGAACAAGATATGACGATAAGAATATATCAATTCAGACGAAACCGTGTTAATATTCAAAACATCCGTCAATCGTTGTTATTAGTTAACCCTTTGGAGTGATGTAGACGCATATATGCGCTTATCAATTTCTTCGACCTTCCTTGGCTCGAGGTTTTTTTATTTTATCAAAATAGTTTACTTTAATAGAAACATCATTCCATGTTTAGGCCGCACTTTGCAATCAAAGGGTTAACGAAAACGATAGCGCGGTCTATATTATTCCAAATTGTTTATTTCAATATTCTAATATCATTTATATTGTGAAGGATTGTTTTCATAATGATTTATTTCTTTTCTAGAAAATGGATCATCAATCTCCGCCGAATCGTCGAAACCAGCGATAATTAAAGTTAGCAAAGAAAAGAAGAAAATTAATGCAAAGGTAAAAGGGGTTGTCCATACCCTTCGAATACGATCATTCTAGTTTTACGAGTTGTTGTTTCATATTTAATATCTTTTTCTTTTTTTTTAGGCGAGCGATTTTACGGATATCGGAGATTGGCCAACGTTGGGACCTCAAGATGTATGCATATTTTAAATATTCTATCATTTATAGATTCGCTGAAAATAAATATATCTTTTATTTCATTTGCAAATGCTAGAGCTTGCAGAAAAGATATTAAGTTTTTCTGCGAGTGTATACGGTTTGCTAAAATAATAGATACTTTTTATAAGAGCGATCAGAGTATTCGATTCTGCTTTCTCTGACAAATAAAGTATTCGTACATTCATCATATCTATTCCTATTAAATAATATCTTATAATTAATGCGTTTTACATTCGTTCAAAGTATTTATCATTATGTCTGGTGTGTGTTTTGGTTTAGAAAAAGACGACGACTGCTATGACAATTCAAAAATCAAATGGTGTTACCGAGCCAAGTAATACTAAAGAAATTAGTGGGCACTCGATTGAAATAAAATCCAAAGAAAATAAAGAGCAGCATAATCATTCCCTAGACGACAGCGATGAACTCACGGACAACGGTAATGATAAAAGAAGAAAGTGTAAGTATTATTGTATGATTTCTTTAAAAGATCCACATTTTATTAAAAACTTTTGAGTATAGTTTAATCGTTCATTTTTGAATTTCCAGTTAATAAACAGAAATGGGTTCCCCTCGACATAGATATCACCAAAAATAGAGGAAAGAGGGAACGTTCGCCGAGATACAACCCTAGAGATAGATACAACGAAGGTAATGCGTTTAATATCTTAAATAATTTTAATATTACACATTTGAATAAGCCTATAATTATTTACCATGTTGATTTTTCATTTAGTATCTTACGATGTCCCATTAATATTTTATATTTTTATGTCACTTTTTGAAAGATGGAGAAGCCTGGAGAGATAAGGAATACGATAGGTCAGGATCCAGTATTAGGGGTGGCCCGTATACACGAAGTGGCCGAAGCTTTAGGGGTAGAGGACGTGGTGGACGTGGTGGCATTACGTCTCGTAATAATTTTAGGCATAGATACGATAACGATTATTCAAATTATGACGTAGATTACGTGAAATATGAGGTAAGATATCATTTCTAATCCTTTCTTATACGATTAGTGTAACTTGAGATTTATATATAATCTATTTTAACCATCTTATTCGTAGAATCAAGATTTAAATCAAGATAAATCAAGATATATAGCGCCGTCATACTTAGGAACGATGTTTTATGATAATAATTTTATTGCACCGAACTCCATTCTTCAAGAATGTATAAGAAAGCAAATGTGAGTTTAACTTTCCTGTTCTTTTTCTTTTTTTTCCAAGATAAATAAGTAGAAATTTCATGTACAATGTTTTTTATTTCGTTTTTAGAGAATACTACTTTAGCGAAGAGAATCTATTACGTGATATTTATTTGAGACGTAAAATGAATAAAGAAGGATTCTTGCCCATTGCATTGATAGCATCCTTTCGTCGGATTCAAAGCATGACAGAGGATTTGAATTTAGTAGTCGATTCTATTGTGAAATCGGATAAATTGGAATTGACTCAAGGATACATGGTAAGGTCCAGTTTTATTTTCAATAAATAATGGAACTGATATGAACATTGGGCACAAATAATAATCTCTAATATCGATTGACACGCTATGAGTCAATTGGATTGAATTATTGTGCAAGAGAAATTTGAAAGGAGGATTCGCTGACACCATTCGGACAATAGTCCAATGAATGGAGTTTGAAAGTAGACCTCCTTACACGAATTTACAAAAAAATTTCATTTCAAATAATACCAACAATTGGGCCTTTTCTTTGAAAACAATTTTTTTTCATTTACAACGATCTTTTACTTCTAGATAAGAACCAGAATCGATCCATTGAGATGGCCTTTACTGGATCCAATTGGCAATTCAACTTGTACTGATCCACAAAATGAAAAAATGAACGAGTCTGAATTTTACCCTTGTTCGAAATCCATGATATCGGTCACTGATGCGCCTCCACCTCAGCAAATCTATCAATCTAGTTACATTTCACAATCGGCAATAGAAGAAATAATGAACGAAACCGAAAATATCTTAATGACTATGGGTGGTGATAGTCTTAATCCGAATGTGCCTGAATTTGTACCCATAGACTTATCAAGTAAATTAATTGCGAGTAAACAAGTAAATCTGGAGGAAATTGAGGAACCGATAAACGAAGATAATTTCGTTAAAACGGTCTTTGATATAGTCGATGGAGTACCAATAACTTCTACACTTTTTGGGCCGTTGAGTAATGAATTGTCTCCGCTATCGACTAACGTATCTAGTAGCAGCGAATCACCGATCACTTTGAACGATAAAACGCATACTGAGGATTCTTCTTCAGAGAAAGTACAAATCAACAATGATAACGTACAAATCAAAGATGAGAAGGCACCATCGCCTTCTTCCTTCAAATCCGATAACACTTGGAAAGAGGTTATTTTCTAATCTATCTTTTTTATTTTATATATTTTACTTTTCGTTTTTCATTTTTATATGATCACTGTTATAGGTCAAAAGAAGAACAAAGCATTCGCATAAAGATGGAGTAAAAGCGTCTGAGGAAAAAGGAAAAACTAGTAGTGGTATTCGTAAAAATGAGCAACGAGAGGAATTAGAATTTCAATTTGATGAAGAGTTGGATACACCACCTCCAACTGGACGGCACAATGCTTTTTCTGAATGGTAAGAATTACTTGTTATTATTCAATGTGATGTTCAAGTATTTCAGAATAACATTATAACTCCATATTACTTCCAGGTCGGAAGACGAGGAAGAAGATAACGAATTATCAGACAGAGATATTAACAAATTGTTAATAGTTACGCAAATGACCGTTCCTAATTCATCAAGATTACCTAAACACGAAGGGTATGATCGTACAGGTGATTGGACAACTAGAGTCAAAATGACTCAGGATCTCGAACAAGCAATCAATGATGGATTACGTTATTACGAAAAGGGTTTATGGAGTCGGGATGGGCAAAGGGTAAGATGTATAAACTAGCGTGTATATCTTTGCTGGAAACATTTTATTTCCTTTAACGCATAAACTTAACTAATCATATTATTTACAGTATGGATCGTCATCCTCTATTAACAATTACAAGACCGTCAATGTAATCAGTCAAGAGGATTTTGAAAAAATGGCACCGAAACCTCCAAGGAAAGCCAATCCTGAAGTTCCACCACCGCCACCGTCTGCCGTTGAGGAAGACGACTTGGATATTTCGCAGTCTCCTCCGATTCAAGTACATATATTTTTCTATTATTAACTGAATTCACAAAATGACACAATTTGAAACATCATAATAAACGTATGAACTTTAGATTCACCTTAATATTATTATTTGATTTTTTAATATTAATCTATATTCTATATTCCAATTAGGTTCTTACTTCTTCGGATAGCTCGAATAAAAAAGAAAAAATGAATGAGAAGAATTATTGGAACGATCAAGCAAAAAATGATATAAATGGAAGACGAGGTACAGTTCCAAGATTCTTCGCAGTCGTGAAAGACGAATCATCGGTTGATTTGAGAACCCCACGTAAACGAAAGACTCGACACAGCAATAATCCTCCCGTTGAACATCACGTTGGTTGGATAATGGATGTTAGGGAACATCGTCCGCGTACTTACTCTACTGGGTACGAATTTATTTCCTTTTATTCCTCGATTTAACTTGTTATATTGATTTCTTAAAATAACTTCTCTTATAATTTCCCATTTGTTTTATTCCAAATGACAGAAGTAGCGCTGGAACGAGTCCTAGTGAGTCTTTTCTCGCCGGTAGTTGCGGTAGCGTTCCTCAATCTTTGCCGACATTCCAACATCCAAGTCATGCCCTGCTGAAAGAAAAGGGATTTACTCAACAGGTCTATCACAAATATCACTCGCGCTGTTTAAAAGGTAATTCAAAGAGAATTGTCATTGTGAAACAAGACTACTATATGAATTTACGTTTGAAATGATGAATATCTTATAATTATGTCTTCTTTTCCCGACTGAGGGATAATAGTGAAGAGAATTAGAATCTGAAGTTATTCTTATTCTCTTCTCTAACGAAATTGGTATTTGTACTTTTTATTTTAACGAAATCTTCTGTTTGATTTTAGAACGGAAAAGATTAGGGATCGGACAATCTCAAGAGATGAATACGCTCTTTCGTTTTTGGTCCTTCTTCTTGCGACAAAATTTTAATCGTGCCATGTACGAGGAATTTAGAAATTTAGCCAAAGAAGATGCCTTAGAAGGTTACCGTTATGGACTCGAGTGTCTATTTCGATTTTATAGTTACGGTCTGGAGATCAAATTCAGATCTATGCTGTATCAAGATTTTCAATTTGAAACGATAGATGATTACGAGCGTGGTGAGTGCATATAAATTTTCAATAACATAATCACGCACATAATAGGTTATTTAGTTACGATATTTTGCACCGTAGCTAAATGGTAAGATTGTGCTAAAACAAGAGAGTTTTGATTAAGAGTCTTGTCGAAGATACGATGAAACTTTAATCATTTCTGGTAGACGATATAACTCGACAAAACATTTTTTTATATAATGTCATTGATATATTTTATAAAAATATTGATAACTAATCGTTTGTTGTTTGATACGACAGGTCAATTGTATGGCTTAGAGAAGTTTTGGGCTTTCTTAAAATATTATAAAAACTCTGCCAATCTTTACATCGATCCGCAATTACAAGAATATTTGTCCAAATTCAATAGCATCGAAGACTTTAGAGTCGAAGAGGTATAATTTCTTTCATCTTTTTTCTTCTTTCTTATCTTATACTACAAAACAATGAATCTAAATGAATATTTGTTTATACAGCCTCAAATTAATGAGATGCTTCAAGGATTTTCGATAAATGCTCGATCACTTGGATCGAAAAAACGTAATAGAAGCCTTTCCGAGAGTGGAAGTGGATATGTAGATGTAGGTGCAGGTGCAGTTGCAGTCCCAGGTGCAAGTGGAAGTGCAAGTGGGAGTAGTGTCGTCGATAGTGCTTCGATAAATAGAGTCAGACGATTCTCGGGTGATTCTTGTGCAGTTACATTAGCAACAACTTCTAATAACGATGCTATTAACAATCAAAAGATACGCATGGACATGGGTAATAATTCATCGCATGTTCGTAGTAGAGCATGTTCTTTCGGTTCTGGAAGGATGGGACATTCAAGACGAAAAAATGATTCAGGTGCATCGAGTAGTAGTCAGCGTGAAGTAAATAATAAACAGCATCAAACAAGAAGTAGACCTAATTCTTGTTCTCTCTCTAATAAGTCTTACGAGACGAGTAAAGTTTTAAGCACTGCCAAAAATCAATCTACTAACAAGAACGAACAAAAGCCTTGAACTTGAAATACTTCATCGATGAATTAGATAGAGATGATCAATTTATTTATACCGTATCTATGAAGCATCATTTTTTTCTACTGAAACATCGATGAAGGAAGAAAAGGTGAGAATTAATTCCAGATATATTATTTCTAATTGACTATTTCACTGTTGTCAATTTTGTATGTATGATTTTTCAAAAGGACAAATTAAAGAGAAAGGTAGGGGGAGAGAAACCTTTTTCGTTAATTATTGTCTAAGATGACGAATAAAATAAATTATTTATTTGGACATAATGAAATCTGTTCAGAGATATGAGAACTTTGTCAGTTCGTTGCTAAGCCAACCAAGGAACGTGCTGTGAAAAATATAATTGAAAGGTTCCGGCGTAATTTTGATGAAACTTCCGCTTGTAAATATTTGCCGAACACCGTTATTATATATTGTATATGCCTTTCTTGTGTTAAATTGATTAATACGAATTATAATGAAGAAGAAGAAAAAAAACTAAAAAAATTTACAGAACTTTCACTAGAAGATTTCATCTAAATAATGACGATTGAGAAAAACATGCAGTGGTAGTATCTGCATATTTAAGAACAGTTACTATTTATTATTATCACTATAACTGTTACTTCTAGTGATGCTATTACTATTATTCTTATTAATAATAATATTACTATTATTGTTTGTACGCTACAGTCTATATTACAGAAACTGTACATACACATGAAATATGATAAAAATGAATTGTTTAATTCTTAAAAATATTAAGGGACACACACAATACTTCCTAAAATAATTGAAGTTATATTATTATTAATATAAAAAAATGATTACTATTATAATAATCGAAAGCTATAAGATTAGGAAAATAATAATTGATATATATGTTAATTAACTGTATTTAATTTATAATGTATATTAGAAAAAAAAATAATTTTATTTTTATGCGATGCCGCTTATGAATCAGAATATTTAATAGTACTATTATTTTTATCTAGTTACACACAAAGAGAAAATGAGTAAAGAAAAATAATTGTTAAAATGTTTACATATAAAAATAATATCACACGTTTGTATAATCGCTTAGCAACGCAAAAAATGAATGGAAGCTGCAGGTTTATAATCTTAATCGATGTTATTTTTATTTGTAATTTCTGTTTTTTTTTTATGTAATCATATAATAATCCCAATAGGAATTTTTATTTTATATATAATTTTTTCTTCTTTTTTGTCTTAATAATCCTTAGCATTCGCGTTTACAGTGATATGTATATATTATTGCTAGACAAAATTTTGTATACAGGCATACATTCATTCATACATATATACATACAAAGATTACATATAATAACAAAGGAAAAGGCAAGTAGATAAAAAAAAAAGATATTTAAAATTGCCAAATATATATATACAAGTTTTTTCCTATAGGTACTAAGAAGATTATTATTCTAAAGTGCGTCGAACGAGTATACTATCGAAATGTATGCCGAATTTCGAGCCTATAGTATATCATTTTTCATGAATTTTGATTTTCATTGTTTCAACGAAGTTCTTTTATTATTTCAACAAATTTTAACTCTCACACGTAACACGTACAAAAGTTCTTCGTTGTGATAGATAACTTTTATTAAACTACACGACCGATTAGATAGAAAAAATTGAATGTTTCTATAACTATATTGTTTATTTGTTAATTATCATTTACACAGGTCACATTTTATTCGCGAATTTCGTGCAATGACTTTTCAAATAGAGAGAGAGAGAGAGAGAGAAACAATTTACGTGAATCACTGCCGATAGAAAAAAATAACTCGTTCGAATGCGCGTTTCCTTTTAAAAAAAGAAAAGAAAAGAAAGAAATGATAAGATAGAAAAAAAACGTTCCTTAGCTAACGAAATAATAGTTTTTTTTTCTGTTGTTGTTAAATAAACATTACGAAATTATGATATTACATACGTTCTCTCAAGACCGTGTGGTGGATTTCGTATTCATCATTATAAAATATCTACTTGTTATTTATTCGTCATTTAATTAAAGTGATACGATAGATTTGTACATACACACGTATATATATATATATACACAGGTTAAGTCATCTTCAATTTGAATAATAATGCCATGTAAATAATAATCTCGCGTCCCGTAAGAAAAGAAAAAAAAAAACAAAAAAGTAAATGAAATAAGAAAAACCTTTTATTTCATTTATTTAACAAAACGTGTGTCGAATATTAATTCATTTTGTATAACATTAAAGGATTATCTTTGTAAATATCGAATTGTACGATTTGTAAACCAGAAAGAAGAGACATGAAACGGTCAAACCACATTTAAAGTAATATTTTGTTGTTATATTTAAAAAAAAAGAAAGATGAAAATGAGATTATATTCGTAATAGTTGACACAAACGTTTCTTTTGCTATAGACTCCTCTTTTATAATTTTTCTGATAAAATGATTGAAAGAAAAATATTTTTTAGTTACCTACATTTTTTTTTTTTTATGCATTATAACCGTATATACTTTATGTAATAGCATATACTTAATTGAATAAATTTGTTTGTATATAAGTATATATATATATAAAAAAAAAGAAAAAAATGTAATAGAAATGTAATAATACTCTGCGATAAAAAAAAAACAAGCTCTACACGCCGTGATGATGATGATGATGATCCGTTAATCGATTAAACATGTCTTCTTTTTATATATTCTCGTTAAAAAATGCACTAGTCATACTTATCGCATACCTAGAAACCAACCCGGTATTAATATATTAAAACATTGTCGAAAATAATACAATACTACTACTACTACTACATCATCGTATAGAAAGAAAACAATGAGATGCATTTTACTGAATAATACTTAACAGAATTACCATTCATTTCTAAGACGACGAGAAGAAGAAAAAGAAAAAAAGCATTTAGGCATCTCTTATATTTTTATACCTAAAATAAATACTTAAACACACAATATTTCCTGCAATAATAAAAAGCAATAGATTTTAGAATATACCATTTTGCAAACTGTGTGTGGAAAGAGGAGACAGGAGAAAAGGGGGAAATTTTAATTTCCAATCATTTTACTTCATTCGATTTTTTCTTCCAACAAACGAACCTCGCGTAAGAATTAATTTTGGGAAATATAAACGGATTGATTGAATAAGTCTTCTTCCAAGTTTTTGATAAAAAATCATGTAAATATTTCTTTCATAGTCTCTTCTCGATTGCCATTTCATAAGCGGCGATATTTTGTTTTATTATCTAACGAATTCAATAATAATAATAATAATAGCTTAGCGTGTGAGCTATATATTAAGATAATAAAAAAATGTTTCATAGTAATTTTACTATTAGATTTTAGAATTATATATACATGACTATTATTATTATTATCACGTATAAATTAATCTTAATGCGGTAAAAGATAATAATAATTAAAAAAAAAAAAATAATCATCTTTCATTAGATTACTATCAACTACTGGTGCAAGATTATCTCTTTTTTTTTTTTCTTTTCTAGTATATAAAAAAGAAAAACAAAAAAAAAAGTACATTCGATAAATAATTTTGTAATATAAATAATACAATGTAAATAATTATGTATTTCTTTTAAAAACATTGCACACTTATATAAACATGCAATATAATTGATTTTGTTTTTTTTTTTTTTTTAAGAAAATAAGAAGAAAAAGGAGCTCCTTATATATTATGATATACTTATATAAAAATAARAAAAAAAAAAAAAATGCGAAAAGAGGAATTAGCACGAAAAAAGAAAGGAAAAGAAAAAAAAAAAAAAAGGAAAATACAGTCAGACAATACACACATAGGACGCACGTAATTTAATAAGAAGACTATGAAATGCTGCTTATGCACAGGCTCCTAGAAGGATACATTGTTAATTAGTTATTTCTGCTAGTACTTCTTCATTTTATATATTTAAGGGTTGCGTAATTATTATTATTAATAAAAGAGAAAAAATAAAAAAATAAATAAATAAAAAAGGGGGTGAGGTGGTGTGAATGGTTGATAAAAAGAAAAAGAAAAAAAATTTGTATGATACAATGTGCGCGCATGCATATACATATAATTATAACATTAAAAAAAAAAAAAAAGAGGTAGACTGCTTAAATAATAAGACAATTAATTTGTACAGTTGCCTATATATATATATATATACATACATACAATGCATAAATATATTAGACACACACACGTCGTGTTATATAAAGAGAACTACGATCTCGGGGCATGTAAAATTAATTTTCACGGTGATATGTGCTACTACTACTAAAAAAAAAAAAAAAAAGAAAAGAAGAAAAAAAAAGCTCCTAGCAGAAATTACGACGACGACCTCTGTTGGTTTATTTAACTTGTAGGAAAAAAATAAGAGGCAAACGTTTCAGGAATCCTTCTATAAAGCGTTTGAATCAACTGCCTTGATTTTGTACAGATACTGCCGCTTCTTTTCTCCTCCAACCCCCCTGTCCCCACCCACCACCACCCCCCGCCCTCATCAACTCGCACATTGAATTTTCTTCTCTCTGCTCTCATTTTCGTTTTACGCATTTTCTATTGTTGTATGTATATAGAATTTAGTTTCATTGATTTCATTAATTTCGTTTCTGTATAATTTTGTTTATAATTAATGAGAGAGACAACTGGTGGGGGGGGGGGTGGTTTGGTGATAATTTAAAATATATTTTACATTTTATAGTTAAGTATTTCGTGTAATATTAATAAACAAATAGCCAACTGTCCCCTGATTTAAAGAAAATCAGATTAAAATAAAATTGGATGAGGAGATGGAGGAGGAGGAGGAGGGGTAGCAGCTTCATTTGAAACGAATAAAACAAATCAATCGCAGTATAATAGATTTTCGTTCAATCTAATATATCTCGTGCCTTCAATTCGTGATTTTACTTGCGAAAAATACTCTTATAAACGCGTTGGTCGTTTGAATTTTCCGTGTTGGTAGAAAATAATCCAATAAAAATAAAAGAGAGAGAGAGAGAGAGAGAGAGAGAGTGTGAGAACATTGGAAAAAGTTTTAACAAGTGAAGAAAGAAACAAACCCCCATAGTTAGATAGACAATTGTTAGAAAAAAGAAAAAAATGGAATCACTTTGGACCGTTTGTGTTTGGCAAAATTTGCAAGTATTTTTTCAAGCTTAGGTACAACATAGTTCTTAGCTAGTATACTACAATGGTCAAGTAACATAATATACTATAACATTATGCGTACAAATATGCGTATGTATTTGTTATTAAATAATAATATGACTCGAATAATTGCGAAAACCCCCCCCCCCACGTTTAACGATAATTAATAATCATGTCAGCCATGTAAATATACATTAGTCATACGATAAATATGTATAACTCTTAACGATAAGACTTTATAAATTGCCAGAATAAAAAAAAAAACAAAAAAATTCAATTAATCTATTAAATATATATACACAATTGAGAAAAATATTTAAAGAGATACAAATTTAGGAATTAATCCCCATTAAACTGGAGATGAGATGCGTTTTTTGCGTGCGTTATTTTAACAACAACAAATCCCCAACGAGAGAGGTATGAATGAATTTTGCTTTTTTTTTTTTATTTTGGGAATCATGTAAACGTGTAGCCGAAAAAGAGTTGTATAACCTTTGTGAATATATAAATAATAATAATAATAATAATAATAATAAAAAAAAGCCACACAAAAACCGAAGAAAAATTGAAACTAGTTCATTCAAATGTATAATAAAATTACATCCAACCCCCATACACGATCCCAAGAAATTTTTTTTTAATTGGATTAAACAGTAGACACCCCCCCCTCCCATCCATCCCTCCTCATCTTTTTGATATTTCTGTTAAACGAATACAAAATCGAGTATTTTTTTTTGGTTTCCGGATACGAGTTTACAATCGTAACCCAGGGATTCGTTGGTTTTATTTGTCTTAGAAATAAGTCGAGAAGTAATGGGTTAACTTTTCGTATCTTCTATACGTTACCCGATGTTTTCGTGTTTTATGATTACGAGCAGTATCATCTAACGTTGCCACATGGCCCAGAACGTTACAAACGAAACTCTGCTGCGAGGAATTACCCCTAAGATGCATGCACCACCACAACCCCCCTCCCCATATAGCAATAATACATTTCTCTTTTTCTTTCTTTATGTTTTTTTTTAATCTATCCAACGTAAAACTTATACGTCGCGTATTTTATACAAGAAAAAGGATCATCTAAACGCTAATAATAATAATAATTAACAAAAAGGGGGTGGGGTGTCGGTAGGAAGGATTCCAAACAAACGTGAAATACTTTTTATTTCTTATTTTCGAATAAACGTTTAAATAACCTTTTTTTCTCGTCGTATATTACGTGCTTTTTAATCGATTAATTTTTAGAAAAAGAAATACTTTGTATTATATGGGGTGAGATTATTAATTTTAAAACATCGTTGAAAGGCGACGCGATGATCGATGGGAGGTGAACGGTGGTGATAATCGGGAAGAAATCGTCCATGGTATTATTATTCGACCATTTCCACGATTGTTTGGCAAATAAAATGATTTCTTCGGGAATGAATCATCCTCGTTGTTTCGTGGATCTTCAGAAATGATCAATTTCGAAATAATACGATCCTCGTCGTAATCGTTTCCTCCTACATCTTCCTCACGGTTTAATTTTACTCCAGTAATCCTTTTTTTGTTGCCTGGTTAACGGGGGTGGTTGAGGGTGGGTAAGTAAAGTTCAGAAAAAATTTTTATTTTAACATAAAAATAAATATGATTTAATTAATTACCTTGCAAACCAAAAATATCCAAACGGGAATTGTCCAAAGCATTGTTAACGTTGACCAATCCATCCAATTCAGCATCCATCATCATTTCCCTTTGATTTTCAAACTTTTGACGTTTACCTAATCGTGGACCAAACCACATCCCACTGCTCATCTCTTGCGTAGTCCTTTTTATACATTTTCCTTCAGTACACGAACGAAAATCGTTGTCCTGCGTTCTATCGTTCGATATACTTCCCACATCACTCGAATCTTAACAATAAAATAAATAACAATTGTTTGATCATCGTTTTATTCTAAACAAACAATTGACGACAATTTGTTAAAACCTTTTGCATTTGAGAGAAAAAATAACTGAAGCAAATTCAATTTAATTATGACTTCTTTTAACCCTTTCAATGGTGAATACAATTAACTGAATTGTTTTCTATGAATGAAATAATTTATTATTAATATCACCATAGACTATGTTAATATTAATAAATTATATTTATATAATTACAATTTTTGTTTTTCTCACAATAAACAAAAATATTAAATTATTTTACATTCACAACTTTTATTAAACGCATATATCATTTATTTATATGATTTTTTTATTGAAATTACTTTGAGCTGCTAATATGAATAAAAAGAAAAAAGAACTTAGAGTGCAAATGGGTTAAATTAATAATTATATTTTGTTACAAATCATTTTCTTTTCACTAAATTTCGTGAGATTAAATATAAAATTAAAAATAAAAACTTACCGTATTCCGCGGTAGTAGAATACGTCAAGAAGAAATAAAATAAAAGCAAGGAATAAGAAAATGTCCTCTTCCTCCTCGTAGTAGTAGTTGTCCGAGAAATTTTATTAACAAATTCGATCATCGTTCTCTTCCTTGGGGTTTCCAGTTTCTTTGAGAAGGTCTCAGAAGGAATTGCTGAAGATACGGATCGGATTCTCTGGTTTTATACGGTTCCTAGGTGGTATAACTCGGGCGTTGTCACGGTTTTACCCTCACCCTCACCCTCACCCTCACCCTTTTTCGATCTTTAAACATCGATCTTATATATACGCTAACAGAGATAAAGAGAGATAGAATATCATCTAAACGAAACCCAGGAGAGTAATCTCGGGTTTAGAATGGTAGCAGCAATTATTTTCAATTTGAATCAAAAGCTTACGGAAACACTACTTCCCCACCCCCACCCCCAACCCCTATACGCCATGAGAATTTCTTGTATCTTTTCTATCTCTCTTTTTCTATGTGAGAATCGTCAAATGGTAACCCCAACACACGTATCACTCTCAGTACTCGTTATTGCTGAATATATATTTGTTTATCGATTAACAGTGGGGGTGAGGGGTGGGGGAATTATTCTGTTGGTCACATTTGTTCGCATGCAGTGCGAATAAATGAAAAAAAATCTTGAAAGGGCAAATTAATCTGACGGTTATCCAATTCAATTTGTGCGATTCCTAAATCGAATCGAATTGAATCTTAGCCGTCGGTGGTATATAAAAGGATGTATACCTTCACTTCTACGCGACATTTCGTAAAAGTTCTTCGAACTAACCAAACGTATTTTTCCTTCTTCTTCTTCTTCTTCTTTTTGTTATACATTTTTTTTTTCTTTATTTTGCACGCAGCGTTCAGGATTAAATTTATTTCTATTTTAATAAGTCTTTAATAAATTTATTAAATTGCGGATTAAATAAAAATTCTATCCATTTGTCAGAAAAAAAAAAAAGGAAAATTTTGTTAATCTTTACAGGCGTGATTGTTATTAATCTAATGAATTATTTATTCATGAAAGTGGTGTACTTAATGTTGTTAATAATTATCTTTTTAGTTGTTCATTTACTGCATGTTCAACAGCTGTGTTTCTTTAAAGTGTTTATTTAAATTCAAATTTTGAATTTTTGTGTTTTGTGTGTGTATAATTTATTTATTATATTTTACTAATTTTTATTAATCACACTAGTTTTTTTTTTTTTTTTTTTTAGTACATCTGTGTCTTGCGTAATTATTTATTATTTGTTTAAATTTTTATATACACTAATGGGTGTTTATCCAGTAAATAAATAAATAAAATGTAAAATTTAAATAAGCTATTTGTTCACTACACACACATATATTTATATTTTTTTTTTGTCTTGTGTTTACTTCATTCTTTTATTTTTTTTGTATGTAATAATGAATTTATCTCGTCACAACGTATAAATAAATAAATAAATCGGATTAACTCCATAAAACAAAAAGTGAGAGAGAGAAAATGTTATGGAACAATGTGCGTTAAGTTTTCAAAATTTTCCTTTTACAATATAAATTCAAATCAATTTTGTAGAATGCATAAAAATACAGCTGTAGTGCATTTGAGTTGCATCATTGCAACAATTTCCATTAGAGTACGGAATTAATAAAAACAAAAAATAACCTTTGAAATAAATTATTTATTATTCAATGGGGGTAAACAAAAAATATTGTCGCTTAATGGTGTTTAACTTTTTATGTTCTGGAAAAATTTGTATAAATATACATATATATAATCAAGTTTTTATTATTGCACAACTTACAAAGTTTTTATACAATTTTCATTACTTTACTTATATTTTTGTTCACATTAATTTGTACAAATATAAAAATTTATGATCACATACCGAGGGTCGTGTTATAAACCATAAATTAAAAATTTTTCAATAAACTTGAAGTGTCCCTGTCAAAAATTTAACTCCGTACTCTTACATTTAATAACTTAATAAATTTATTAAGAACTTAGAATTAATATTACGTCCGAAAACACGTTGAGTTATTTCATTAAATTTCAGTTACAGTTTTCTTCTTCTTTCGATAATGTTCACAAAATCCGAGAAGCCCTTTAGAAGGACGCAATATTTTATCATGGTTGAAACAATATACACGTCTCTCTCTCTCTCTCTCTCTTTCTCTCTTTCGAAAAAGAAAAAGAAGAAGAAAAAGATCCTCCTCCGCACATGCGAACCGATGCCCCTTTTTTCCCTTAACATTTAAAGTGCCACCGAAGAAGAAGTCTCTTACGCTTTTATGCATACACGTGCATTCTATCTATGTATATGTATACACATATACAAGTATATGCACTTTCCTACTTGTCAAAGCAAACAAACGTTCGCGCCTGTTGTTGTTGTTGTTGTCTCGTTTTTTTTTTGTCTCTTTTAAGACCATAATTGAAACATTCCCACGTCATTGAAATAAAATCTTATGTCATTGGTCCCATAGTTAAAAAAAGAAAAAGTTAGGGTAACGAAATTTGCATGAATTTTCTTTCATTTCTATTCGTTTTATATTTTGACGGATTTCGGAGGAGTAGATTTGCTTATCTCACTTTGAAATGCTACCGAGAATAACCAACCAAGTTCTTTAGGTAACGCGCACAGGAGTGTTTACAACCCAACGTTTGACTTAGGGAGGTGTTCTGGGATTCTTCAAAGCATTAGTTTACAAAGTTATTCACCTTCTCTTCTTCTCCTTCCCCTTCCCCTTTTTTTAACACCTTCCATTGATTTTCCTTAGATTTTTTATCCGAAATCATTTAGTGATATTCAGTGGAACAAAATTCATTCGCAAATCTACGTTCAAAACTTATCTACGTACACCCGTTATGTTTACAACAAGTTGATATCAATTTTCAAATATATATGACGCCCCCATCGATGAAAGAAGAGATGGGATAAATATACAAGGAGAGATTTGTATGGTGTCTCGTATGGATAAACTTTTTTCAACGATATGCAATAAACAAATGACAAATTACGTGTTATGACTCGGCCGATTGATAATATTTACACATCAAACTCGTCACAATTTGTCTATGTGTGTGTGAATTAATATATCAACAAATATTATATTTAATTTTATCGAACGTAATTGGTTCGCAATCTTTACGAATGATTTTGTCAAGTTTCTTCCATGTTCTCTTTTTTCCTGTTTTCTTTTTTTCTTTTTTATGGGGAAAATAGTGGCGCCAGGATATCGATGAAATACGATACCCCGGTCGTCTTTGACAATAATTTCCATGCTTGTAACTTGGAGACACAAAAGTTGAAATATTTCTTTTTTTTTTTTTTTCTTTTTCTTTTTTTTTAGAAACAAAATGCACACAGTTCGGACTTCCTGCATTTGCGTACACATGGTGTTCTCGTCTCGTTTTAATTCTCATTCTTTTACTTTGTCGTAATTGTGGAAAAAGTACCAACACCACCCATCATCCCTCCCCTGCATAATTTTAATAATAAAACAAAAATATACGACGGATATGGATTAAACAATTATTCGTGTGATACGGTGTTTATTATTATTATTATCGATTGATATCCTTTTATACAGAAAGTTTAAGACTTAAAAGCTATCATCGAATATCAGTCCGAAATTAATTTTATAGAAAAAGTATTCGTAAGAATTGATATGTTTGATTTTTCTTGTTCTATTTTTATTCCAATGAAAATTTCAGTCGTTGGGGTAGCTTTCAAGGGTATTTTTAATAGAAAAAAAAATAACTTTACAAACGAATCAAAGAGAAGGGTGGATTATTAAGTATAGAAAATCTTGTTCTCCCCCTCCCCCTTCCTCCTCATCCTAATTTGCGATTGGTTAAATCAAAACGAGTAGCTTAAAACAACAACGAGCATCAATTCACTATTTACACATTAAATTTAAACGCGAAGAAATATTTACACAAGAACCCGAGAGATCTCTCTCTCTCTCTCTCTCTTTAACATTTTTTTTTACAATAAGTATTTATAAATAAAGATTTAATTATAAAAAAAAAAAAAAAAGAAAATCCCCTTCATCTGCACGCGCGGGGGCTCTGGCTGGTATGTTTGTGTGCGTAAATTTATTGCATTTGATTCGTCGGTGATTCTTGTTTTAATTCCAGGGCCCACATGTGCTGAGGCCATCCCGTTCGTCCTTTGCTCTTCGACGATTCTTCCTGCGATACGTTCGAAATTGATTGCAAACACGTCTCGTTCTGAAATTACAACAAAGGAAAAAAAAAAAGAAAAAAAAAGAAAATAAGAACAAAAACAACAAATCGCAGAGCGAATTTTCGGATTCGAATATCGCGTAGCCTTCGAATCAACCCTCCACCCCCTAAATCTACAATTACGGGCATAGCCCGTAAAACAATGACACGAAAGGATTCATAGAACAAATTTTCATTTATCTGGTTCGATATTCTTGACATTTTTAATTCGAATATATTATTTAAGTTTTGAAACATAAATCGTAGGTTATAACAATACTTTAGATAAATTTATTTCTATTTAATCAATTATTTATCTCGTTCAAAAATAAAATTCTTAATGAGAAGGTGTAACAGGGAACTTGAACATAAAAAAGAAGTAGAACTTAATTTAATTAAGTTGGACGTTTCATCCCTTTATTGGGACTTCTTCAGCAACTTAATCTTTAAAGTTCAGCGTCTTTTTTATTTAATTCGACATACATTTCTCTTTTTGTTAATATTCCAAACACAACACATCTAAACTTCGTTAAGTATTAGCTCGTTATAATTTGAAACACTCAACAAAACTCAAAATTAGTGTTACATTTATGCAATAGAATATATATACTGCATTTTTATTTTTATTATTAATATCCAAAACACAAAAAATCTAAACTTCGTTAAGTATTAGCTCGTTATAATTTGAAACACTCAACAAAACTCAAAATTAGTGTTACATTTATGCAATAAAATATATATACTGCATTTTTATTTTTAATATTAATATTCGAAACACAAAACATCTAAACTTTGTTAAGTATTAATTATATAATAACTTCTTTTTTATATTCAAATTCCCTGTGATACTTTCTCATTAAGAATTTATTTCTGTTTCTTTTTTTCTTTCCCCGAAAAAATTTGTCTAAGAAAACCAACAAAATTGGAAGAGAAAATCGACGATATATGTGGTCAAGAAAATAATAATAATAATAATAATAACGGTGATAATTCGATTCCAATTCGTGGGTGGTATAACCGGATGGAAAAAATTGGCCTAACCGCTTATTATATTAACTCGAACCGAAATAATGCGACACGGGAATATTTCTAACATGAGTATTAAAAAAAAGTGCCCACTTGAATCCGATGCAACCAACATTTTTTTTAGGACGTAGGGAGGGAAAGGGGGCCAAAGACCACAGCCCCCTTCTCTCCCTCGTCGATGGATTTAAGGTCAAGAGGCCGATGTTTATTTTGAAGTATAATTCCGTAGAATCGAAGTATAAAAAAGAAAAATCTTTGGGTCTTTGGTAATTGAAAACAAAAAACAAAGCACGCGGATCAATTGAACATAATTCCATTACTCGTCCATAGGTTTCTCACTCTTTGTGAAAGATTTAACGACAACTTTAAGAGAAAGGTAACAAATTAATAGTCGAACGTTTACGAGCAGTATAATAAATCTCGTTTTCGTATTAGGACGGGTTTAGAAAACGTGTTTTAACTTCGTTTAAAGTGGGATAATGACAATAATGATTCGTTAAACGAATTGAACGTAAATGGAACAATACTTATTGTTTTCATTCTAACTCACCTGATTTGATTGAGCGTTTTTGTTTCTCCTAGCATTGGACAATATTTCGGCACGAAATGTTTGCGGCTCCTCAGTTTCGTCGCTTTCCAATACAGCCATAAGATATCCGATGTATGATGCAGCAAGCCTCAAAGTTTTGATCTTTGATAATTTAGTATCCGCTGGAACGTTTGGGATGCAATCCCGCAAATCCGCGAAAGCGTTGTTGATACTCTGAGTACGTCTCCTTTCCTTTTTATTGGCTGTATTTCGACGTTTGGGCCTGACCAATGGGATCACTTCCCTTTGAAGATGTTGATTTTGAAGATGTTGTTGCAGTGATCCGACGCCAACACCACCGACGCCAACTCCGCCGACGCCAACTCCAAGTTCGACGTTGTTCAACGAAACATTTGGCCCACCAATACCGGCGGCCATCGTAAAATCTTCTTCTCTGCGTTGTTCGTGTTGTTGTTGGTGTTGTTGATGTTGCTGTTGATGATGATGATGGTGATGATGATGATGGTGCTGTTGTTGTTGGGGATACAACATAGTCGAATAATGTTGAGGAGCACCGTTCGTTGAACTCGGATGCACGTATTGTTGAAGACCGGAATAATTGGAATCCTGAACACCGATTTCTTCGATCAAAGGTGGCGTAGAAGCCGTCGGACTTCCCGCACCCGAGCTACCACCTGAGATACCGGAATCCGCCCCCCAATAACTCGATTGGTTGTCCGAATCGGGACCACCGAGTGGACCTGGAGAACGATCGAACGATTATTTTCATATTATATTGTCATCCTTTAATAAATAAAACGTACCGTAAGGAAGCTGGGTGACGTAATTGCAGGGTTGATGCCATTGTGGATAATATTCCGATTGGGCGTCGAATCCACCGAGCATGATTTTCTTTTCGTTTTCTTGTATTTTTTCGAATCACTGTTGTCGCACGATGGCACAATTGGATTTGGGATAAACGTGCCACTTACAAATGAAACGAACAATAATTTCACTTGACGAGGACGACGACTATAGTCGTCGCTCGTTAGAATCGATGATGCGTTTTCGGATGCAGTCGCGGGGTCACTGAGAAGGAAGATCACCGAGTAATACTTCGTCGGACATGGAGGCTAAAGCTCTCAAGGTCGTCAGTGGAACGAGATCATGGGTGGGATCGCAAAGGGCGGAGCTCGGTTTCGTCAACGCCTCCTGAGGGTCTCTTTTCTCCCTCTCGTGATTGCTGCCTTCCAAGCCGTACCCTCTCCTGCTTCCGATTCAATTAGCAAATTGAACGGGCTGATACTTTCTGCGTCCGCGCAGAATAACAACATTTTATTTTACCGTTATTATTCGATTCCCATTCGGACTAAATGTTCATATCCGGTGCCACGAATTCACTTTTCCAACTAACTAACGAAACCTAACTGAGGGATTTCGGTGGTGATGTGTTGGTGTTGATGGGGACGGTAGTGTTGGTACCATGGTGATAGTCCCTGAGGGATCGTTTCTTTCCTGTTCGAACAACCTGCTCGCATAAATAATACCAACTTCCTCTCTTGTCAACCAATTAACAAATTTACTCTAAAGAAATAATTATTATCCAACGTAATAACCTAAAACCGATCAAGTGTTTTGTTATTAACGTTTATGATTGCAGCAAAAGTTGGAACCGAAAAAAAGGGAAAGAAGAAGAAAAAAAAGAAACATAAATGGATGGATGAGTCCTGGTCGATGGTAAAAGGCATCTGGCTTTTTATTTTTGAAAGATAAGAGATAGCACTCGTGGATGCATTTAGAACGATCGTGATCTCTTTCTCGTTATGGCAACCGGCGCTACGATTAAAGAGAAATGAATTCTTCTAAGTTAGGTAGAGGGTTTTTTTTTCTTCTCCTCCTTATTATTATTATTATTATTATCACTATGGAGTCTGAAACTTCCGGAACACCTCGGGGTAATACCCCGGACACGAGCAGACTTATCCTTTTTTTAGACACTTACTTAGGGTTTCTAAGATAGGAAGAGAAAGTGATCGGTCGAGTGGCCGAGGATTCCATCAAAAGAAAATGCCGTCAAAGATTGCTGAACCACTTATACGACGATTAATAATCTCGTCTCTTTGATGCCCCCCGCTCCTCTCACATTTATCTACAGAATATTTAAACAAACAAAAAAAAACAGTAAATTATATATAAAATGATATGTTTTATAGGGTTTTGAACAAAGACTTACGGCGAATGACAATCCCTGCTCGATTCGGGCTGTACCTTTTTTTGGTTAAGGGATGATGGCCCTACTCGAGAGACAACCATGATAGTCGCTTTTGCGTTACCGCGATGCAATCCAGAACGCCCCTAATCGTCTCCCTAATCGTCCCTAATCTCTCTCGGTGTCCGCGTCAACTGTGGAAAACCGCAGAAAACATTCCAACATGATTTACAGTCTTTGTCTTACTATATATTATACATTATTTAATATAGTAATTAATTAATAATTGGATTCATTGATTATTAAAATAAGTTAGGGATAATTAGGTCACTCGTTTATTCCAGATGAGATGTTAAATTTTGTTTAAGCAACAGATTAAGCAACATGATTTACAGTCTTTGTCTTACTATATATTATACATTAATTAATATAGTAATTAATTAATAATTGGATTCATTGATTATTAAAATAAGTTAGGGATAATTAGGTCAGTTGTTTATTTGAGACGAGAGGTTAGATTTTGTTTAAGCAACACAATAAGCAACCTGATTTACAGTATTCTATCTTCCTATATATATAAATCATTTTATTTATTATATCAATTAATTAATAATAGAATTATAATGTATAGGATTCATTGATTATTAAAATAAGTTAGGGATAATTAGGTCAGTTGTTTATTTGAGACGAGAGGTTAGATTTTGTTTAAGCAACACAATAAGCAACCTGATTTACAGTCTTCTGTCTTCCTATATATATATAAATCATTTTATTTAATATATTAAATAATTAATAATAGAATTATAATGTATAGGATTCATTGATTATTAAAATAAGTTAGGGATAATTAGGTCAGTTGTTTATTCCAGATGAGAGGTTAGATTTTGTTTAAGCAACAGAATAAACATGATTTACAGTATTCTGTCTTCCTATATATATAAATCATTTTATTTAATATATTAATTAATTAATAATAGGATTCATTGATTATTAAAATAAGTTAGGGATAATTAGGTCAGTCGTTTATTCGATACGAGATGTTAAATTTTGTTTAAGCAAAAGAATAAACAAAGCACGCGTGCCAGTCTCGTGGCCCGTCGTTTCCGGAAGTCCTACGATACGTCGACACCTTGACTAATTATTATTCTCCCCGGTTAAGTAGGCCATTTTTTTCCCCGTTCTTCTCGAATAGCACCACCATCATCATTACCACCACCACCACCATCACCACCGATGGACGCAAACAGGAGCTTCTTCGGGTGCTCGTGTTTCTGCGCTTTCTCTTCGCACAGCTACCCAACATTTATTTATTTTCCCATCGATGACACGTGCTTCCTTTTCCCTTTTCCTTCTTTCTACCAAATTTCTAACTCTTTCTCTCTCTCTTAAAATGCTCGAGAAAAACTTAAACTATTCGTGTAACTATTCGTGTTTTCGGAGTGAATGGGGAAGAGGAGAGAGAAAAAAACAGAAGTAAAAAAAAAATGTTAAACGATTATAGCCATCGATTTTTATTAAATAACGTTTCTCGAGTGAGGGGAAGAAAAGAAACCTAAAAAAAAAATAAAAAAGCTAGTCGATATCGGTCCACAAGCATTTCTTCTCGGTGGTCGATTAAAAAATTAATTACTTAACGGAGAGAGAGAGAGAAAGAACCAGGAGACCGAAGTAAACGCTAAAGTTCCTGAAAGAAAGATCAACGAGAAGTTGGACTGAGTGAAATAGAATGAACAAGAGAGAGAGGAGCAAGAAACGAAGGGAGAAATTCCGGGGGCCATGTGGCGTTTCACGAGATATCAAATCATACCGCGCGTACGCCATGCCGCCCCCTAAATATAGTTTATTGCGTTACCGGGTATTAATGGAGGAGGCTTCCTATAGAAACGCGAGTCGAACTCCGATCTTCTTGCTCTTCGATAGTACAGAGGAAAGATACTTTTAAAAAAAGAGAACAAAAACAACGAGAATTTGATTAGAATCAATTTCAAATTAATTTAGAATCAAATTTCAAACCTCATCCAAAATAATCTTTACGATAAATTCATAAATACACCGTACTAACTAAATAAACAAATCTTTTTTCCTAAATTGTATCATAAAAAAACAGTTATGGGAGAGAAAAATTAACTTCTTGTTCTTGTTCTTGTTCTTGTTCTTGTTCTTGTTCTTGTTCTTGTTCTTCCGTTGAAAAAGGATGACGAGGTAGCCTTCTGTTTGAGTCTTCCGTTCCGGTGCGACGTTCTCGGCGCAAAAGGGGATGTAAATACTCGACGATTATGTGCACGTGTCTTCTGTATATCATGAGCCACCGCAGGCTACTATTACTAATACTACTACTACTACTACTACTATCCGCTACCGACTTTATCCCTTTTTGATTTTGCTTACTACGATCGTAACCCGGCACGGTTCATTCATAAAACTGAGGATGAGGGCCAACGGTGCCTGTTTGTTGTTCGTCGCACGTGCCCTCCTCTTCCAAAGAATTTCACTAATACCTAAATAAACCTTGATTCGCGACCTCGGTTAAAATATATTCTCCATAATTAATTACTAAATATATGGATAAAACACGCGACATTTTTCGTATGAATCAACAATTTGTTTGTTGTTTTATTTGTATCCATATATAAAAACAAATCAATTTAGAATGAAATTCTGAAGCCCCTTTTAGGAATAATCTAACCTTTACGATAAGTACTCGTATTAATTAATGGAAACAAATCTTTTTCCAAAGTTGCATCATAAAAACAAATTTATAAAATAGAAAAATTGACTTCTTCTTCTTCTTCTTCTTCCATTGCAGAATAAATGTCTTGAATATAGATATAACAGTCCACACTAAACTTCAGTTTGTCGGCTAACTTCATGCAGTTAATTTTTCGCGTCGCTGATGCTCGCGCATCGCAAAAATTCGCACTCATCGTCAGTCATTTATTTAGTCCGAAACTGCACCACAAAAGGAAGTATAACTTCCAAAATTCTGTTCAACTGTAAAGAATTCACAGTAGAGTTCTTTGTTAACGCGTTCGAACTAACTAAACGTTATCCCTAATTCGAGTTAATAAAAATTTCAATAGATATCGTGTTACAAGAAACGCCGGCGAGGATAGACGACGAGTTTTTCGGTATGCCGAAGAAGAAAAAGGAAGAAGAAGAAGCTGCTGCAGCTTAGAAAAGAAGGAAAACGATATATATGTAGCAATGTAAAGTTCCTAAATGTACGTTCGGATACATAAACACAATGCAGAAAAAAAAGAAACTAGTGTATCTTCCTTCCGAGAAGATCTCTGCTTTTAAATCATTTTTTAACGACCAGATAGAACTCCGTTTCTTCCTTTGTAAATGTTCCTCAGTCCCCCGTTCGATTCGTAAACACAATTTTTTTCACACACTCGCAAGATCTTACTAAACCTATTTTTTTCAGAGGGTTGGGTGGGGTATTTTTCGGACTTCAAATCGAGGAATCGAATCTTCTTTTAGAATGCTTCTAATTAGCGTACAAAAAGAACTGAAAATAGAGAAGAGCCATTGGCCGAGGCCCTCCCCTCCCCTCTCCCACCCCACACGATTCGAGTTCGGTGGAACCTTAAGTGGCTTTATCTGCCTTTTTCCCATGGTAGGGCCTCTCGAGATGGCAAAAAGCTTAACTCCCCGAGCCTGTCATGGTACATCATTGTCAATAAATCGTCACGCGACGCATTACAAAATCCTGTCAACGAATTAACCCCAATCAATTACAAAATGTACCCCCCCTCCCCCATAAAACAAAAAGTGAGAGATTTTATTTTATTGTACATAGAAAATTAATCCAATTAATTGCAAAACAAAAGAAAAGAAAAATTGTTGATGATAAAGGTTCATAGGGAACTTGGACATGAAAAGAAGTAGAACTTAATTTAACTAAGTTGGACCTTTTGAATATTAATAATAAAAATAAAAATGTATATCTACTCAAATAAAAAAAAGAGACGCTGAACTTTAAAGATTAAGTTGCTGAAGAAGTCCCAATAAAGGGACTAAACGTCTAACTTAGTTAAATTAAGTTCTACTTCTTTTCATGTCCAAGTTCCCTACGAACCTTTATCCATCAAAAATTATAATTTTGGACGAGAGGAAATACTGAACAAAAGAAAAATTATTACCATGGGTGCGAAAGAGATAAAAGGCACGAAGAGGCGTTTGTATAGAAAAGAGGGAGGCTGGGGGAGGGTGTGGGGAGGAGGAGAGGAGGCGTTTCAAGTGTTTGCACATGAGAACGAAGGAGACTTTTCAACTATCTACGTCAGCGCGGTCAGAGACTCGTCGTCTCGTTTCTCTTTTTTTTTTCTATCTCTCTCTCTCTCTTTCTCTACTTGAACAAGGAGAAGGTACTAGAAGAAAAGTCAAAGAAAAATCGTAAATCTACGCGCGTCTTGTCCGGGGGTTGCGTTGCAGTCGTAAGTTGCAGTCGTGCAATTCGGTAATAAGATACTGGCGCCTAAAGGGGACCATCAGCTTACAGGAGCCGGCACTTCTATGATCCCTTCTTCTTCTTATTCCATATTGACCCGATGACACACGAATTAGTTTTCTCGAAACAAGTAAATACTTTTAGTTTTGTCGAATTTTTTTTTAGGTCTCCCAGAGAAAGAGAATAAAGTTTCACAGGAAACTCTTATTCTGATCAAAGACTTTTTGGTTCCCCAATCCCCCTCCCATATTATTCCATAAGGTCATCGTAAATGACAAAAATTATTGTTCCCCCTGAGTTATCGTAGATATTATTGTTATTCGCGTTAAACAAGATTGATTCCATTGTTCGTACTAATATAAAAACAAAAAAAGACAAAAATCATGCAAACTTGAGGACTGTATAAAATAATACACACAGGGATTGGGGGAGGGGGAGGTGCAGGAAGGGGAATGAAGCATAATAATTCGACTAGTCTTTTCCACGCTCGTCACATAGTTGCGTTCGCATTGCAGAAAAATACACAGAGAACAGAGAGAGATCTCATCCCAGATGTCGAGCACCCGTCGTGTCACGGTGTCCCATCGAATTCACTTCCTTTCTCTTCCTCGCTGCAGGACGCCTTGGGGGGTGCTTTGGAAAAGTTGCGCCTATGGATTGCACCATGACAATTGGTGATATTCTAACCGCGTTTGTTTAGTTAATCGAATAAATTGATTACGCGGTAAGGAAGGGACAAGTTTCTCGTCTACGTTAACGAGATACGCCTTTTACGGGGACCATAGAATATCGAAGCAAATCATTTTGAAAATCGTTCGCAACGCTTATGTCACAGTATTTTTTCCCACTAAGTCAAACATTAGTCCCTAGGGTGTTTTCTAAGCGTGCCCGAACATTTCCATTTGGTAAACGAGCCAATCGAATTTTGATGACTCCATTAAATGACCTCCCCCATCTACTTCATCCTTTTCTAATTCTATACAATTAGATATAATATATATACTTCGGGTGACGTAATAAACTTCATTGTTCTTGTATAATCTCGAAAAGTATTCGTTAAATTATAATATATCATTGTTCTTGTATAATCTCGAGAAGTATTCGTTAGATTATAATATATTTTAGTAAATGGATAAGAAAAAGAAAAAAAAAGTATGAGATACAATGAGATTGGTGTTTTGAAACGATTCAACCCAAAGAACATGGAAAATGATTTCTTCAAAATGTTCTCTCGACGTATCAATTACTACCGCGAATAGAACAACCGTGGCATTGTCATTTTCTCAACTTACTTTATCCCAAATACGTTCGGCTAAAGCTTTATAACGAAGTAGAGGATAAACTCGTCAACGGCAAGTCAGAAAGGCGTGAAGGAGAAACGACAGGGAGACATGAAAACGGTGGCCTAAATAAACAACGACCAGGCTCGATGACGGTTTCGACATTTCAATTTGTAATGGAATATGCTCGCGAAGGAATTTTCTACAATTCAACCAAATGTAAATGAATATTCTTTATACATCTGCATGTTTAAATTATTATCCATTAATTTTAATTACATTTAAAAGAAGAAGAAGAGATATAAAAAAAGTAATTTCATTTTATTTCAATCAGTTTAAAAAAATAATCAAACCCAAAAGAGTATTTGATAAATATCATTTAAAAATGCGCGATAGATTTCCTTTTTCACAATAAAAATAATATAAAATAATATATTATATTTTTCTCTCTAGATTCTCTAAATAATAATAAAAAATATCTACATACACACACGATCTCTCTATTTACATTACAATATTTATCTAGTACTGTACAAATATTTACAGTATGGGACATTTAAATAACGCACTTGGACATTCATCGTTATCGATAGATACGATTGGAAAATATTTCTCACGGAATAACATTATTTCGTTTAAAAAATGATAAATAAGTTTGTTTAATCGATATATCAATTGTTATATCCTGTGCGTATACTTTCAATGTTCCTGTATATACGTAATATATATTAACTAGTTTTTAAACACGGAAGAAAGTTTGATCAAAACGAGTGTAATACCGCAATCGGCGTTAGTTACTTTCTAATCCGAATGTGGAATCGTTGTTGTTCGAAAGTAAGAGAATTAAAGGTCAAGCCTAAAAAAACTTCTGTAGTCGACTTCAAATTCCTTGGCCATTCGGATAATACAAAATGTCTCGTTTAAAATAACCTACGCGCATTTAACAATTTAAAAACAAACGCTTCGATCGTTTTGTCGACGTAATAATATATACAATAGTATAAAACAAAACAAAAAAAATAACAAGTTGTGAGAAATCATTTTCATACAGGCCAACTTCGTCTTTCCTCTAAATCCGATTTAACAAACGAATTTCTGTTACTATCTAATTCGAAATCGTTAATTACGTAAATACAATCTGTACAATTGTCATTATCAGTTTTCCCTTCCATTAAACTAAACCTCTTGCTTGTTATATCTTCATTGTTGACATCAATTTCGGCAGATGTACCAGCAATTTCAATAACATTTTCATTACTTGTAATTGAAGTCCTCGACCAGGAAGGATCGTCGACCATTTTATAAATTTCCTTCTTCGATTCCAGCGAAGAATGATATCCTTCCTTTTGAATTTGATCGTTTTTCGAAGGAGAAGAAGAAGAAGTTTTCTTCTTGTTACGTGATAGAAATGTTCGATCCAAAATTATGAAAGGAACTTCAAAAAATAAACTCCAGAGTAAGGAAAATGCCAATGTAAATGACAAATTTCCAAAGAATGCGTACATCTGGAAAAAGTAATCATTGTTTAAACATTAGTAGAGAAGGATTATAACGATTTATTATATAGTTTCTAATCTGTTCAACCATCATATACTATAATAATACGTATAATAATAGAAAGTGTTCAAGTTCGTTCTCTTTAATAAAATTATCGCAGAAGATCGCACATGCTTACCACGCTCATCGACGTTAAATTGCCGGTGGTGCGCACACTTCCGGCTCGGGATAATATAAAAATATAATGGGAAAGGTAAGCAGTGTAAGTTAATCTGCTGAGCGGCGCCCAGCCTCGCCAAGAAAGAAATTCTCCAACTAGACCTTTGGAAATCGATTTGCTTATTGTCTCTTTTCTTCTTACATAAATATAAACGTATAGAAAATCTAATGAATTATTAAAATTAAACGATTATACCTGCGTATCCATGGACGCAACAGAAAATGATCCAAGATACAACTAAAGCAAAAGCGTGTCTGTGCATCCCAGCATAAAAACTAGCCTCCAATCTGTTATAAGGATGATCATCAAAATACATTTCTCGTGCACCAAGAACAGCTGACAGTGCTATTGGAATGGCAATCAACCATCCGATGATTACATAAAGCTACAACAAATTCTCATCGTTAAACAAAACGTTTTCCTACCTTAATTCCAAGCACAAAACTTTCATTTACCTTTTTTAACTTGATATCATAAGAATTTCTTTTAGCCAATAAATAACCTAATGCTAAACCAATGATGTAAGGCCCAGCTCTGGTGTATACTCTTGTATAAATATATAAGAAAACATTAGCTACATCATTTTGTTCCTTATAGTATAACATAGTTGCAGTAAATCGATTGAAAAATGTCATGGTGAAGGGTAAGATTATCGATAACACAAAAGCTAAACTGATGATTATCCAGAAAAATATTTTTCTCATTGAACTGAGCATCGGGTAAAGAAAGATCGGCGATAACCAAATCAACTGCATATCAACTGCCAGGTACCAGGATTGTGACATGCACTGAAATAATGCACGTTGAGAATGAAGTTTTAAAGGTGGATCGTTTGAAAGATTATTTCCAATTGGAAAAAAACAAAATGATTATTATACCATGTCGGCAACGTTGACATAATTGTTGATGTAAAGAAGATTGGTCCACCAATTTTCACGACAATAATTTCGATTTAAACCAACCCACGTATTCCAATGCGGACCACTTCCAAATTTATGATATAAAGTGGAATAGAATCCTATCATCATGGCATACGCTGGTGTTAATCTGCAACAACAAAACCCCCATTCGAATTGGTTTATTATTTTTCATAAACTCATAGGTTTTCTTGATACTTGTTTATAATACGTACCTTGCATAACGATGGAGGTAAAGACCGATAACGTCAAACTTCCAATTATTGCTTTTCACCTTTTTCATGACCTCAGTGTAAGCAAGAAGAATTCCACTGAGTAAAAAAAAGGTATCCGTGACCATGTTTCCATTTAACACCAACATCTTACTCCAATTTTCATGCAACTAATCAGAAGAAAAAGAAATTTTATTTGAAATCACATTGATAAATTCTTCTTTTAAACTTTACCTTTGGTACTTGAGTCAAATCCATATTAATACCCATTACTTCAATGTAATAAGTATGTCCGTAAATGATCCAGCATATACTTATAAATCGTAATCCATCCAAACAAGCGATACAACCTTGAGGTCTGTCGGTATTGAATAGATTCTTGCAATTGGTATAAATTGAAAAGCTGTTTAATAAAATATATTTTTTACCTGGAAAAAGAAATACGTAAGATTATGTTCTAAAGATTGATGAGAGGAAAAAAAAAAAAGAAAGATAAAAGAAATAATAATCAATTATGTAATGGGAAAGAAAAATGAAAAAAAAAACGATAATTTTATAAGATAAGACTCACCTTTTCGGTTCGATGAACTCAAATGTCCTTTACATAAGATATCGAAAGTCGTACTAACGATAATTATCAACGAAAAGATAAGAAGAATAGATCTGAAAATTGGAATCACAGTTTATCAATTGATCGATTGTATCTAAGATCAATAAAGTCAACAAATACAAACGTAATAATTGATTTTTACATGTAAATCCAATCGGATAGATCGAACCTTGTCCGTTCGGATTCCAAAGTATGGCAAGATGTTATTGGAACGTTTATCACAAAATCAAGCCGACCTTCGACCTTTAAGGGATCCATATGGATTTCCAAAAATTCTTGAACTTCCGAATGATTGCAACTCGATGGTACGCACAACATCCATTCGTAAGCGATTGTATTCCCCGACTGCCATTTTGTTGCGTTCTATGATAAACAAAAACAATAAAATATGATATACGATGAAACTTTATCTATTCGATTAACACGTTCACTGCCATGAGGTCACCGGTGACCTCAACACACGTAGATCGTTAATAAAAATTATATAATTAGAATAAATATCGATTCTGATCAATTTTTTAATAATATCATTGTTTTTATAAAGGTTTGAAAAAACTTATGATTTATTATTACAAGGAAAATTAATAACGAGTTACTTGATTTTATAAAAACAATTGAATTTACAACACAAGTACTTGTTCAAAATTATCCATTTTTAGATTCTTCCAAACAAAGGTTCTTCGAGAAAGGGTTTTTGACTATTATAAAAACTGAGTAAATGAAATATATTTGTTCGTGAAACTTGTTCCTTTTTGTTTTTTGTATATGTTTTCTTGAAATAGAATCAATTGTTACGATTAGGAATTATTCTCGTTGCTAGAAATGTCTCAATCTTATTCGTATTTAAAAGAAACAAATAATAATAAAATGATTTACAAAGTCGTTTATCAGTAGTAAAAAAAATGTCAACAGGACACGTATCCCATAATAGAAAAAGTGTTGACAGTAAACGTGTTAAACTTCTTTTGTTCTTATATTTAACTACTATTTGTAAACGAGAAACAATTAACAAGGTCGCGAACAATCATTTATCGAAACATTATGTAATACTCAATTGAGAAAGATTATTTATCTACTCGTAATTTGAAATGAAAACAACTTTATTCCTATTTACTAGTAATCTCATAAATTGATTAGGAAAATCATTCGAAATGGAAACCAATGTTTCGAATATAATAAGAAAAGAAAAATATTCAAACTTACGGATGCTGCAGCGATGTTTATCAGCAAATTAGCAAGATTTAATTCTTTGGATGTGCTATTATTTTCTGCTACTTCGAATTGTATAGTAGCGCTACAGGATTGACCAGAAATTCCTTGATCGCTCTTAACCTGCAGACATTCGTTGTAATTGCCCAACTGCTTGTAATTTCCAGTTATGATACCGGTCGGTATTTTTACCGATGCGTCGTACACTAAAAATACCAAAAACAAAATTAAGAAAAGAAAAACAAAATGTTTGTTCGTATGTATATAATTAATATAATATAATATATATATATATATAATTATTTTATNAAAGTTTGATCATAATTTTTGTCGATAAACACAAATTTAGAAGAATATATATTAATTTGATAATATTAATTAGATTTGATAATAATTACGTGTATTTGTAAATTAATACATAATTTTGACTAAATAAAAAATGAATAATTGTTATTTGAAAATAAACGGAAATTCGATTATTATACATTATGATATTCGATATAATATCATATACGTATGAATTAATGATTGAGTAACGTTCGAACAATGATCGAAACAATACCTATCGTTATAATATAATTATTTAATAATATATTTTTATCTATTAGAGATATATATATAAATCGGTTAGAATTTTATATAAGTTGATAATTAAAAGTGAATTTATGAGGCTTGAAATATTCATTCGTCACTGTTGAAACTTAAGTCGCATAGATCGTGGGAACGCATCCTATGCAAACAAAGAACTTATCGAAGCACAAAATATATATACATATATATATCTAATAGATAAAAATACATTTATGATAAAGATTCAATGCCAGATACATTAACGAACCGAACCGATGAAGTTTTCACAAGCGATAAGGAAATACATAAGTATGATAATTGTATGTGTACTATGTATATTGGTCGAACGATAAACTATTTCTAAAATAAATATTGATAAAAGACGAAACAACTTCCTTATTTAACGTCACAATTTACATATTCATGAAATGCATGAATTCCTAGTTAATTCCCACGAAAAAAAAAAAAAAGAAATCGAAAAGTAATAATAGTATACTATAAAAAAAAGTCACATATTAAACCGAAAAGTATCGTTTTGTCTAAATAAATATTGAATAAATAATTTGTACGTTGCGAAACTATCGAAGGTCATCGTCGTCGTTGAAAATGATCGAACAAAAATTCCTCCGATTGTTCGATAAGGAAAACAATAAAATAAAAGCTTTGATGTTGTGTGTTATTGGTTTGAAAATTAAAGAGAGAGAGAAAAAGTAAAGGAAATCGATCGATTATCTTATATCGAGTAAAACAGATAAACCCTGATACCAAGGACGGTCATCGGCACCATAGTTACTGCTTATTGATCCACTTAGTTTCTCGAGCTGACGCAGAAACCGGTTGCAACCGTTTTATATTGATATTTGTTACTTCTTAGGTGAGGATGACCGTGATCGGGATTCTTAAGGAAAAATCAAAGAGAATTATAATAAAAGATAGATGGTAAAGAATAAAGTTCAATGAGAAATAAAACTCGCTGACTGAGTTGCGAGTTGTTGGCCGTGGCAGCCGTAACCGTCTTTACGGTAACGCGAAGTTCTGCTCGTGGATCTATCGGAAAATGAAGAAAGAAAGAAAAATAAAAGGAAAAAAAACAGGCGCACGCAAACCGGTGCGCTTCAACTATATATATATATACATATATCGTATATTTCAAACGCGAACCTTCACTTTCTTGATATATTTCACGATAATTAATATCATTAATAATGAATAGAGTGTATTTATTTCGGTATCTCTTCCTCGTTATTATTGGAAACGAACTTGACCTACCAATCATTCTATATCTCTCTCATTAACAATAGATCATATTTTTTTGAAAAGGAACTTTGAATAAACAGGATATTTACTTACTTTTCAAAGCCCATGGTGTATAACGCGAGAGTTCCTCCAAGTAGATGGCGCTATCCCGTTGACATTCTTTCGTACTCCACTTAGTAGGTTCAAACGGTCGCATGAAAATATTCGAAAGGACCGTTTCTGGCTTTATGGAGGAACCTGATTCTACGTTGTAAATTATCAACGAAAATAATATAATAAAAGTATGGAAATAAATAATAAAATGTGGAGGATTGTTGATTGCTCGTAGGAGACTCATTTTTAATTTTAGAATCGGCGTTTCCGCGTATACCTGGAAGTCGATGGTAACTTTGATATTAAACAAATGAAAAAAGAAAAGAAAAGGAAGGAAATGAAAGGATCCTCGTTGCGCGAAAGTTTGACTACGTGAACGCGGGTAAATCCGTCTGAAGGAGAGAAAGACGGGAAAACGTAGAACGTACTGTGTACTGGCAATCCCGACGGTTTACTTATATATTGGACAACGACGAGCTGCTAACGAGGAGGAGCAAGTTGCTGCTTCGGGGGAGTTGCCGCCGCCGCCGCTCGCCGTATCGCATCTCCTTTTATCGATGTTACAAAGATTACGCTTCTTCTACGAACCTATTACCGGCAACTATTTACTCCTACTACTCCTACTATCTTCCTCTTGCTCTTTCTCTCACTCTCGTTCTTGATCTCGCTCTTGCTTGATCTTACCGATACTCTCTCCTAATGGAAAAAGCAAACTTAAACATAGAACCGTCTTTCCAAATCATACCGATTGATCATTCTTTCTTATTTGTACTTTCGACCAAAGATTATTCCTATACCATTTTGTGACGCATCATCAAGACTACTTACAAAATTCGGAGAACGCTTTTTAAATGATATCATTAAATAAAGTATTTAATATTCAATTAAATCAAGTATTCATATTTTAATGAATTTTTGTCTCTAAGTAGAATTTAAATGATCTCATCGAGAGTAACACACCAAGATGATCCTTTATCTTTCATTCCTTTTTAAACAATTACATTTTTCTTCTTGTTCTTGTTCTTCTTCTTACTCGATTTCGTTTCTATGCGCTAAAACTCTTTGATTTCTATGTACTTCGAAGAAACTCGAGATCTTAATCGGATGAGATAAAAATGACAAAAGTATTATCGTTAATCGATAGGCGGAACAACGTTATCGGTGATTCAGGACGATGTTTACTCGAGTAAATGTCAACGTCCTGTTAATGAGGCGCACGATTCGATGCATCTGTTGATGCATTTGTCGATGCATTCGACGAAGAAGGAAATACAAGTAAGTTCTATAACGTGTTAAAGATATTGCGACAGCTTTCACGATAAAATATAATTAATCTATTATCCTGTTTCAATTTTCTATTCACAACGAGACATAGAAAACAATTATTTTAGTTGTGTGATTAATAAGAGGTGTTTAAGTTCAATCGAAAAATACAATTCCGTGCTTTCGAAAATGTTTTCATTCAATTTGAATATAGAATAGAAAAACGTTCATTTCCAACTCTGCAAATAGAAATGTAACCAACTTAAAATTTATTCTGATTGTAAGTGGTCTACGTGGTTGTGTTCGCTTCTTATCTTCTTCTCTTTTCTTTCATCGTGCGATTAACATTTGAAAAATTGATAAAAAAAATATAAAATAGGCTTGATTATCGTGCTTAACGCGCGATATCGCAAGATGTCATTTAGATTTGATGTTAACGTGTTCTATGATTTCAGTTAAAAATAAAAGTAAAGGACAATATTCTACATTGTTTTCTCGACTCGTTAATCGTCGTATTTTGTCATCTTAGAAAATGATTTGTTACTTCTTACTCTGCAAGTCCATTGGAGGAAGAGTAAAAGAAATAAATTGTTATTCAATTCTAACCATTGTAATATAATTCTCAAGTCCAGTTTTATTATTTGCTTGCACAGCAATATTAATGCTTAACCATTATACATTGTTTTGTATATCTATTGCATTTATATATACATATTAATTACAAACATCTTCTTTTTCTGTATACAACTTGGTATTAAATAATTTCTATTTCTATACCATCTTATCGTCTTCGTCATCAACAATAAAACACTTTTCTCCTATTCCCGCATTCTCTTCCAATAGAATTTGACAATAATGCGCATTAAGGAATGTTACATGGACGTCTCATAATTTCTACAGTTAATGCTTTGTTCTACAATAACGTTCTACAATAATGTATATAATTATTCAGATAAAATAATCCTGACGAAATATCAATTGATAAAAATATTAAGTAGAAGAGTAAGATAATGTTATTGGCAATATGTCTAGCGTATCATTTCTATCGACTAACAAAAGTTTGTAAATTCAATGATTGATATTTGGTAAAAGAAAGAAAAATATCGACTGTAAGATTATTTCTTCCCATGTAAATAGTTTGTCATCTTATTTACCATCCTATGCTAGGTAAAAATTTTTCTACGTCTTCCAATACTTTCAACTGTGTTTTCATACTATCGAACTTATACACCAGGCCTTGCTTTTCATAATACTCTATTATAGGCAATGTTTTTTGTATATAAGTTTCATGCCTCTTTATAAGAGTTTCTTCATTGTCATCGCTGCGTCCACTACCTTTGGCTCCACGATTGAGGCATCTTTGAGTACAAACTTCTTTGGAGCATTCGCAAAACAAGACGCCTTTCAAAAGTACCTTGTCCGACATGACCTATCGTAGAAAATAATACCAAGTATTACATATACAGCATGTTTTAACTTATAAAAGTGTTTTACTTTAACCATAACCTCTTACCTTGTTCCAACCAGTTAAATTATCTTCGTTTCTTGGGAAACCATCGATGAGAAATCTTTTTTTAGGAGCCTGAGATGTCTGCATGGCACGTTCCAATAAAGAACAAGTAATTTCAACCGGAACAATAGTGCCATTCTTAATATGCGTTTCGATGAGCTCGCCAAATTCCGAACCGGGTTTGATTCTCTCCTCCCTCAAGAGATCACCAGCCGACAAGTGAACGTAACCATACTTTTCGGATAATAAACAACATAGCGTACCTTTGCCTGCACCGGGTCCACCCAAAACGAACAAAACTTCAAATTTTTCTATCGCGGACATTGCTAAACGGCGCAGTCCAGCTGCGGCTACCGTGAACATAAAATATAACAGAACTTAACACTACGACCAAGAGGTATCTCCTATATCGGGGGTATGAACCAGCGCCATTTTTTAAATCGTCTTGGTCATTATTATAAATAACACGACTAACTTTTTCCATTTGTACAAAACTTGATCGAAAAAACCGTCAAATATTTATTCATAATTACCGCCATTTAATTCGTACTTTATTTCATTACTTCTCATTATTTTCAAATAAATTATCAAATTAAAAATAGGTCAATCTTAAATCTTTGAATCACGGGGGCCTATCAAAGTAATGATGGCAACAATAATGCTGGAATAAATAATAATCACTTGAGAATGAACACATTTTCAATGAACAACTTGAATAATTATTCATATTCTTTCTTTTATGAAATATTCTAGCGAAAATCGCATTGATCGATAGATAAATTCTAAATCGACATCCTAAACATCGACGTCATTTATATCATTATCGAAAAGAATAAACATAGGAACTTTTTTATCAGTCGTGTGGCATTAGGTTTATCAAAGAATTGCACTGATGATGAAAGCAATTGACAGATGCAATAAATAGTGTGGGCGGATATTTAATAAATTCTCATTTTATCACGTATTTTTCAAGTTTCACTATTACCTAAGTAAGTTTCATAATTTTTTATATATTCATTATAAAATATAACCTATACAGATAGCGGCCTGTGGATGCTGTCACCCGAGAGATATTCACCCTACATTTAAGATCATTTTAAAACAATTACACGCAAGATTATGGGTAGGTTTATCAAAATATTTGTTTACAATAGTATTACAAATCTATGTCCGCATGCTGTGGAGATATTTCATTTTCATTTTAGAAGATACTACAGAAGCACAAAAGTGGCAACAACGTTTATGTTTATTACGGGAACAGTACGTCAATTTGCATAATGCAAATGCAGAACTGCAACGCGAATATGCTATTGCAACTGCGGATAAACGTGAAAATGGATTTGTTGGTCGACTTTTAACAACGGTTGCATCTTTATACAATCAACATAATTACAGGTATATGAACATTGGGAATATCATGCAATGCATTTATCAAATCTTTATAATTTTTTGACTATGTAGATGCTAAAAGAGTGCATGAACTATGCGTTTGTTATTTTTAGTGACATTACCATTAAATTAGCGGATCAAGAAGTACCAGCTCACAGATTTGTCCTGACTGCTCGCAGTGATTTCTTTGGTGAATCTGTTCTTGCCGGTACACCGGTACTAGGTAATGCCTTTGCTTTAAATCAATCTTCTAAGAATTATTCTAGAAAATACATTGTTTACAGACTGGAGCAATCTAGATACACATGTAGGATTAATTTTATTAAAATGGATTTACACGGGAAAGGTTTCCCAAGAAAATTTAACGTTAGATTTAATGAGAGCTGCTTCATCTTTTCAATTATCAGAATTGATCGATCAATGCGAAAAATATTTGGTCGGCATTGCTGGTCTTAAAGATTGCGTTCAATTGTACGTAGCTGCTGAAGAATTGGGCATACAAAATCTCAGAGATCATTGTAGTTCATTGATATCCGCACACTGGGTAGGTAAAGTACTTGCCTAATTTGTATAAAGTATTTGTTAACATCGAACAATGATTAAGTTAAAGATTTGATTTACAGGAAGACCTAACAGGAGAAGATTTTAAAGAGATGCCTGGTTCTTTACTGTACAAATTATTACAAGCTAAAAGCACATACCCTTTACATTCGGCAGTTCGTTTAATAAGGGAGGACGTTGTATTTTTGTATTTAATTGAAAATAATGCAGAGGTAAGGAACCTTTTTTGTTTTATTTAATTACTTTTCATTAGTGTTCAAAATAAGGAAACTAATATGTGTATCGTATAGCAAATTATGAAATGTATGCTATAATAAAACAGGTGAGTGTTAAAAATATTCATCTATTGGCCATAGAACGGATTAAAAATTCTAGAATAAAAAATTATTCTTATAGATGGAATATATCGCGTAATATATTAAATAATTATCAAATTGTAAATAAAATGGTATCCTTAATAGAGATTACATTTTTTTCTTAACGTAATGATATCACAAAAGTATTAATACCTAACTAATTGGTGTAAATTTATAAAAATACAATACACAATATTAGAAGTACATTATTAAACTTAAGTATTCGTTGTATCCAATATCGTTGCACCGTAAGAAATGCACATTGGATTTCTCAAATATTATTCTATAAACTTACTCCTTCGAGGTAACAATATTTTAATTTAGAGGCTATCAAATTTATACATTAAAATATTTACGTTAACTTCTTAAACGTGTAAAAAATTAACAAATAATAAAGATAGCGTCAATAGAAAGATAGTAGTAGTCAGATTTGCCGTCTTAATGGAAGGAGAAAAATTACATAAATCAGAATTGCAGTAACAATATTCAGGTGGTCTACCAGTTGCTCCTCTGTCTTCACCGATAGTACAACCTTCTTCATAAGCTTTTATTACTTCTTCCTTATCGTACCACTCTCTTGTTTTATTATTATAAATCTTAGATAAATATCTTTGAGTAGCGCAGCCTCTTTCAACTATTTTAACCATGGATGCTGAAACAGTGTCAAACAACAACATTAATCATAATTCTTAAGCACATTTCCTAATTGCATTTTTAAAAGCTCCACATACTTTGGGATTTATAATAGATAGTTTTGTTTACACAAAATGTTGACATTGGACAGAAAACTTGAAATGTCTTATTCCCATTGAATTGAGAACAAAGTTTTTCGGATGCGTCATGTCCTGAAAATGTTGACACGCAACGGTAGCACATAATGCCTTCTGCTTTTGTTTTTAAGATATCTATAAAATACAGAGTCTCTTGTAATTATATTTTAATATTTTGCAATAAGAATAAATACAGTGAAGAATATATAAATGAAAGTTTTACTTACATAAAAATATTGTGACAAATTGAATTAGTAAGCTTTCTACTCGCATCTTTAGGATAATTTTGTAACTAGATTATTATTTAAAAATAAAATCATTCACAGTTGCAAATAATGATCATTTGCTAAAACAAATAAACATAAAAATATGTTTTTTGTGTCGATTTCAATGATTGTCTCTTATTTTATGGTTATGTTGATATTGCATCGATGCACTTTCTAAACTGCACTTTGTACGTTTGCTAATTGAAAACTATTTAAAATTATTTTAAAAGGAAGGAAATGAACAATTCATGCTTATCACACGAGATTCACTAGATCGATATATTTACTTGATTTATTTTCTTAATTTCTTGCAAATCATAAGGTTATATATTTCCTATACATGTTTATCTTGAAAATTAAGTAAGTTTGTGCATAGAAAATATTATATTAACAAGTGGTTAAGCAACGGTATCGTCGACTACTATATCATCTCCGTATTCTTTTTGATTCGCCCGTATATCGTAGCTTATTCATATCGGAAAGTAATCTCTACGCTTCCTCCGTGACCAATTCTGCATTCCTGTATGACTACTCTCCAACAGTGGTTCTCAAACTTATACAAAATATATTGCCTTTTTTATTCCTTTTGCTTTCTAATTCGATTAACAATTGATAATGAAAATAAAAATATTTCAATATCTATTGTAATTATCAATAATATAGATTATTACGTATAACATCTTTACAACAACTGCAATGTTAATTATTATATACAATGCAATTAAATTAATGACTTATTTGAGTTAATGATTAACATTTGAATGATTCATTGTTCTGAAATTCATATTCTTTTTTCCTTATTTCCTATTTCTTTTGTATTAATTATCATTCTTAAAAAATAGACACAAATAATTCTGGGTATTAAAGAAAATGAAATAATATATTTTCTATATTTGTGTTTTTGCAGCTTCCCAAAGCAGTCAACGTAATTGATCAAAAAGGAGAAACTGCATTAGAGGTAGCTCTAAAAGCACGACAACCCTCGTTGGCACAAATCTTGGTTGAACATGGGGCAAATCTTACCGCCAAAGATTCAAGAGGTCTTTCTTTACTTCAGAATGCTATTTTAAGGGGTGACTCGTATTCAGCTCAATTCATCATTGAACAATTGGAAAACAATGGAAGTAGCCAGAAATTATGCGAACCTATTAAATTTACCGACAATGCGAACAATCTGGATAATTACAAGGAATTAGAAGGATGCACTGTGTTGCATCTAGTAACAAAACATGACACTAAAAATATAGTAGCTGTTGCTTCTAAATTATTGCAAGCTGGTATAGATCCTAATTTACAAGATCACAGAGGATGGTAATTAATAATTATCTATATTACATATAATGTATTTACTCTCTCTATATATATTTACTTCATCTTTTAGGATTGCTTTGCATAGTTGTATTTCGGAGGAAAACAAGCCGATATTTAATTTATTAGTTGAATCCAAAAATATAAATTTGGATGCAAGAACTAATAAAGGCGATACTCCGTTATGTTTAGCAATGGAAATAGAACCATTCCAATCATTTTTTGCTAAGGAACTTTTACTCAGAGGAGCAATACCTAATCCTGAATATGAGGAAACAGGGGACACTCTTCTACACATTTTAACCAGAGATAATAAAGAAGAAGCTGCCTTGTTTTTAACTGAATATTGCAAAGATAGCTTAACGAAAACAAACTATGACGGCTACACGATTTTACACGAAGCTTGCAAAGTCGGTTCGAAACGATTAACAAAAGTTCTTTTACAATATGGCATTCCAACAAACATGGTCACGCTTACTACAGAAGATGCACCCATACATATTGCAGTTTCATATTTTTATTTAGATATCGTAGAAGAATTACTGAATGCTAAGGATGCAAATTTACAATTAAATTTGAAAAACAAAGCTAAAGAAACGCCTTTAAGCTTGGCGATAAAAGCTCCATTTAAAAAAGGCATAGATATTGTTTTGGCTTTAATAAAAGCTGGAGCAAATGTAAATCAATGCAACGAAGAAGGACTAACGTTGCTACATCAATCTATATTAAAAGAAGATTCGGCAACGGCTATTTTTTTGTTAGAAAATGGTGCAGAAATGAATGCAAAGTAAGTAACATTGGTAATAGATTAATGAAGAATGTATTTATATTTACTAAAGGGTATATTAACAGGACAGCTAACGGAGAGACACCATTGCAACTTGGTGTGCACTGCAGACTTAGCGAGGTGGTAGAAGCTCTTTGTAGACGAGGGGTAGATACTTCAGTAGGATGCCCTTTGTGGGATGCATTGGATTCGGATCAAGAAGATACCGCTTCTATTTTAGTTAAACATGGAGCAGATGCTGATTGCTGGGGTCCCGGTCCAGATGGATGTTTACAAACTTTATTACACAGAGCAATTGATGAAAATAAAGAAGACATAGCACAATTCCTCATAAGAAGGTATATCGTGAATATAAAAATGTTCTTTGTCATATGAACATTAGGACATAGTTTCTCTTACTTGTTACTTTTAAATATTCATTCTTATAGCGGATGCGATTTAAACGCTCCCAGACGTCCAGGACCAAATGGCACCGGAGGCGACGAGTCGAAGGATGAATGTACTCCGCTGCATTTGTGTTGTCAATGGGGTCTCGAACAAGTTGTTCAAACTCTTATCGAGCATGGAGCAGATGTGAATGCTCGTGACGCGGAAGGAAAAACTCCTGTTCATGTAGCAATACAAAATCAACATTCGCAAATAATATCATTGTTATTATGTCATCCTAATATAGATTTAAATAAGAGAGACAAAAAAGGTTTAACGCCATTCGCGGCAGCTTTAACTGTTCGTAACAATAAAGCAGCGCAGGCGATATTGGAAAGGTTACCTAAAGCTGCAGAGCAATATGACAATAAGGGAAGAAACTTTTTACACACTGCTATACAAAAAGGAGACATGGAAAGCATTTTGTTTCTACTTTCTATACAGGTATATAAGATTTTATGTATGGACACAGCCATTACATCTACGATTAATTGATAAAAATCATTTTTGTAGGTAGATGTAAATTCTAGAGTACACGACGTTACGCAGACACCTCCCTTGCATCTCGCTGCCATATCTGGAAATGAAATGTTGGTACGAAGTTTGATTTTAGCTGAAGCACGCGTCAATGATACAGATGCGAATAGAAATACTGCATTACATGCTGCAGCGAAAGCTGGCCATGCTACAGTCGTGTCCGCGTTATTGCATGTAAATATATTGTTCATTAATATTTCATGATGTTATTGGAATACTATTGATATGTGTATATACATATACATGTATATATGAATTTTTCTCGTAGAACAATATTAATTTTGATGCAGTAAATGCGGATGGCGATAACGCATTACATGTAGCAGTTAGAGAAGGTCACGTATCTGTTGTAAGAACGTTATTAACAGAATGTACTTTAGACGCGGAAGCAGTAAATCTTAAAGGCAGAAATCCTTTACACGAATTAGCCAGATGCGGAAGAGATAATGCTGCAACTATATGCGAACTCTTTTTAGAATGCATGTCGCAATATCCGGTGAACAATGCTGGTAAACATAATTAATTTGATATCGATTAATATTTGAAGCTTCACCCGCATAGCATTATTATTTTAATTTCAGACTTAGATGGTAATACCCCATTGTTAATAGCCTACATGAAAGGTAATGGTAACTTGTGTCGAACACTAGTACGCTCTGGGGCTTGTCTCGGTTCAATGAATAAGGATGGTATAACAATTTTTAATTATCAAGTTGCAACTAAGCAATTGTTATACAGATTATTAGATTCTTTAACGCAAGAAGCACCTTGGGCGGACAAAGACCTATGTTTGGAATGTGGCACAAAGTTTTCTATAACCATGCGTAAACATCATTGGTAAGAACTATCTTACTTTACTAAATTTACATTAAAGTATTCTTATCTTTACCTTATTGAATTGCTTTCTTTATTGAAGTCGGCACTGCGGAAGAATCTTATGCAGTAAATGTTCAGGTCAGGATGTTCCCATTTTAAAATTTGGATATAACAGGCCGGTACGCGTATGCGCTGTATGCTTTGATGTATTGCAAATAGGTGCAGAATGAGTAGGGGTCATAATAAATCAAAATTATCATGCAAACGAACCAAGTGTCATTCCATCTGCCTTTTAAAGAGTACAGATGTTATTAAAACTAAAAGTCTGTGTAATTCTATGTCATTAATAATATATACTTTTTATTGTACTACTTTATTAATAGAAAAAATTTGTTAAAAACTATTTCCAAATTATAAATACAAAAAAGAAAAATAATGATTTCATTATGCATACACATCGTCCTTTAAAGGGATCGTTTAAAGTACATGGCGGGAGGGGGGGGGGAACAACGAAACCGATCGCAGCGCACGCTGTGGCAGAAATATTAAATTTATAGGGGAACTTCATCAAATACATTAGATTTTGTATAATTATCAATACGAAATTTCAAAATACTTGTTGTGTAGTGAATTGTAAAAATAACGATAAAAAAAGCAAATTGTGCACGTTTCTAGAATTACAATTCGTGTTGAAAAAATTATGCAAAGATTAAAATTCTATCAGATTCTTAATAAAACTCATCACTAGCAATGTTTTGTATTTCTTATGTCATTACTCTTATATACTGCAAATATTTGACAGGCCCTGATAAGTTGTGAATGCTAGGCAATGGTAATGTCACGCACACTCCCTATAAGTTACATTTTATTTCTATTACTGGATCATATATATACAATGCTTACATGAATTAATCTATGACATTTGCAACGATAACCATGTAAAGTTTTTATAAGGATCTAACTTCGTTCATTTCAATTTGCTGAAAAGAGTTTCAGCTACACAATGATCTACACATTCCACATAGTCTATCAATTCTTCAAGGCATGTTTCTTCGGTTTGTTTTTTGGAATTAACACGATCATTACACGTGTTCAATATTTCTTTGAATTTTTCACAGTGATTCGCTGAGCATTTTTCCTATAAAATATATCATTTTATTAGAGTACAATAATGAAGCGATAATATTTATAAATATACGGATCAAATAGATTTACTCTAATGTCTTATAAGAATTAATTTTATAGGTTTGAAGTAATTATATTACTTCAAGGTAAAGAGCATTGAACATTAATGAAAATATAATTAAGAATAATTTGATGAAATAAACTCTTGTTAAAAAGTTATTTAAAATAAAACAAGAATATAGGATTATACGCTAAAAGTTTTGTCAACTTTTAAATCAGTTTTTTAAATTAGTTGACATGTTAAAGTTGATAGTATTACATAATAAAAAACTTACACGAAGAACTGTTTGAGGATCAACTAGCTCTTCCTCTTCGTCATTTGCCTTAACTTTTGGTACAAAATTTTTAATCAAATTCTGAATGAAAGACATTTTAAGAAAAGATATATTTATGAAACTTTAAAGGGAACAGAAAGTGTACTAGACTATCATAGAATGATCCAGTGACTATGTTCAACTCATAAGTTTTTTTTTTATTTGTATGCTATGAAATTGACTCGTATTCGTTAAGGCTTATTCTAAAAGTAACTAAAGCAAAGTTTCAAGAAATATCCCTATGGAAATATTCTCATTTTGATTGGTTGACATTTAATGATTAATAACGAATAAAATACGAGTAATATATTTATAAAATAATGAATATTGGCTTTTAAATAGACGAGCAACTGTCATATATGTAATCGAATAATTCTTAATTCGACAGTATAGTTAAACAAGACAAACGTGTATATAGTTAATATTTAAATATTTAATTGAAAAAAGAAATAGAATTTGGCCGGTGTGTGTTTAAAAAAGAAAAAAAAAACATATTGTAACTGGTTTTTAATCTCTCTCTATTAGGGGTAAAAGGTTTAGGTGCATTTGACAAAAAATCCACGTGGACTTTTGCATGTAGTAGATAAAATGGGTGGTATGGGACGAACGCGCATGAAAACGCGCTATTTTCTTTTTAAGCGCGTTAGCTGATTTGCCAATAGGATAGTTAATACTTCCGCAATATCATTCTCGGTTTTGGAAATTGACCAATGCGTGGATTAAATGCCACACATCATCGGGCAACAAGTTTTTCAGCAATTATTCAGCGCCAGATTTTAATTACCTATGCAGACTCCTGGCAAATTAACAAAATGCCAGCCATACACGGAATTCTCAGGTATTATTATCGACGATTACAAATTTCATGATAATGGAATTTTCGAAAAATTGGGGAAAAAAAGCTTTGGGTGTTCGTTCTCGGTTCACGTAGCCGTATAACGTGGGTCCGATGGGCGTTTAAGATTTTATTAAGACGGACGATATATCAAGGGAGAAATAATGTCATTATCAATAAGTTCTTCATGAAATAACTTAGATCGGGATTATCGAAATATGATGTACACGTAGTTACTAATGTAATGATTCTTAAGTGACAAGGATGGCGTCACTGAAAAGTGCATCGCGATCGGCTTTATCGGACGTTATAAGCTTGTTTCTTTAGCGCCCGAGGAGATTATTTTTCTTTTTCAAGAGTCATCCATTTTCGAGTCTCAGGGATGAAACATAGAAATTGAACGATTAAGGAAATAAATATTAATTGATCGAAAGATCAACAAAAGGTCGGCTCGAAGATACTAGTTTAGTGGAATACTTGGTGGTGCTTTACACATTGGTGAGAATATTCTCGACATAGAAGTTCGTAGTCGGTATTTTCGCGTTGGTGCGTGCGTGCATGCTCGTCGGGCAGGTATCAATAAACTTGTATGTTTCTTCGAGAAGAAAGTTGACGGGTAAGTTAAATAAGGAAGAGAGAGAGAGAGAGAGAGAGAGAGAGAGTGAGAAAGGGAGAGAAAGAAAGAGAGAGAGAGAGAAAGAAAGAGAGGAAGAAAGAAAAAGGTAGAGGATATCGATATCGTGATCTAACGCAATCATAAACCTTCAAAATATATTTTGTTCCATAATAATCCGAGAAAAGAGACACTACCGAGCTTGCGAATTATTATTTCCTGCGATCCGAAAAAAATAAGTGAACGATAGTTGATCGCGTTAAGCCTCGAAGGATTATTCTTGTTCTTCTCAAGTCGCGACTAATTTTTTATTTTCTATTTTTTTTTTTGTTCATTCCCCTCTTCAAACTCGTGCAATCTCATAATATTGGTGTAAATAACGATGAAAATAATTGTCTCGGAAAGTTAACGTGTCCTAGGAAGATTTACAATTATTTGGCATGCTGCTCGTCAACAGAACAATCGCCTGAGTAAATACTTGGACAAATTTGGAGGTTATGTGTTTCCGAGATACGTACGCTAAATAACCAACTTGGATTTTAAGACTGTACGTTTGATAAGAAAGAAACGTAAAAAAAAAGTGGATGCATAATTGCAAGGGATTAATAAATCTTGTCTCATCGTGAATGTTCATAACCTGTACGTTCTCCACTTGGAAAAAATAAGAAAAATCGTTCGAACTTTGCTGATATCATCGCTGTACTATTCTGCAAGATACATATTAAATGTTTAACCGAACACCGATCATTATATCTTTGTTTTCCTATATTTCTTTTTTATTATTTAAATAAAAAGACGTACACGCAAGCAAGGGTGTTCATAAACTAGAGAATTGTCGTATCTTTTAAAATTAGTGGAGAATCTTGCAAGCATTGCAATTGTGTTAGTTACACCAAGAGTTTTTCAATAAAAATAAATATAAAAGTCAAGTTTTATATTGTTGATAAGTGGATGCATTGTGTCATTGTCACTGATCGTAATTTACGATCCATTTGAATACTGATCCAAGTGATACAAGTTAATGTTCAATTTTGAGTAAACCTTTAAATGTAACAATTGGGACGTTATGTTCTCTTCCAGCAAGGGTGCGTGATATATTTATTGTGGTTTAAAAAAACTTTTTAGTGAAAATTGTATTTATAAGTTTCTCAAATAGTTTGACAAATAATACTAATGGACACTGTTTCTCCCTTTAATCTATGATTGTAAATATATGAAATACGTTCTATCACAAAAATTTGCTTAAACGTTTGCGATAGTGGTTCACACGAATGGATGATGCTTGGAGGCAATGAACGGAATGGAGAGACATGGACATGGACATGGACACTCGCATGCACACTCGCATCGTCATCGCCATTCTCATGGCAATTCGCAGAGCGCGTCACAGAATTCGAATCAATCGTCCAAACATAGCCATAGTCACATAGCTCATTCTCAGAAAGAACCATCTACACCGCAAGCGGCACAGAAACCAAGGAACTATAAATTATTGGTGGATCCGTTCTTAGTAAAAGGAGCTACCAAATTGTATAGATATGATGGAATGGTTCCAGGAGATCCGACGTATCCTGTGGTCCAACCACGAGACCCTAGATCTCAGTTAACAAGAATATGGACTCGATTAGAACAACTCGACTTACCTGTACCTAGATTTAAAATAGATTCTAATTATTGCGGGGAACCTCCTCCGCTGGAGGTAACATTTTGTCACCTTAATGACAATATTGATAAAACATTTTTAACAGACATGGTTCAGAAGTTTGGTGCCGTAGAAGAACTTACTATATATTACCATCCAATAACTAATAAACATCTTGGAATAGCCAGAGTAGTCTTTGAAACTACTAAAGCATCCAAAGCTTGTGTAGACAAATTGAACAATACATCTGTGATGGGTAGGGTATTAAGAGTGTTTCTCGATGCTTTTGGAGAGGAATGTAAAAAGATTTATGAAGAGTTAACCATAGAAAAGAAACCAGAGAGAAAAATCGAAAAGGAAATAAAGTGTGATATTGAACCGGAAAAGCAAACACCGATCGATAAAGTTGTGCCTGAAGAAAGGGACGATTATAGAAGTACTAAGAAGACAATTGTTAGTGTAGAAAAAGTTAGAGATCCGTATGTTGAAAATTCGAGATACAATAAGTATAGGGATTATCCTACACCTAGTGGAAGTACTGGCAGTGATTTAGGCTATGGCACAGCGCCTAGCGAATTAAATTATTCTAGCAACTATTCTCAAAATTCTACTCCAGCTACCAATTATGATTTTTACTATAGTGGTTACCACCATCAACCACCTAACAGTTATTTAACTAATATACCACAAAATGTATCCCAAAATCTTTCTATGCAACCAAATTCAAACGTGTGGTGGAGTAATAATTCTGGAACTGCTGGGTATCCGTCTGCATCTGTTTGGCCAGCTCAACATGGAACTAATTTGGAAAATCCAAGTTCTAATACGGCGTCGACTAATAAAAGAGTCGACTCAGCAAGTAAAAGTCAACATCATGCTACCAAAAAGGAAAAGGATAATCAAAGCACTGTCAAAAATTCATCTAGAGATTCTCCTGTTGAAACTCGTAAGACTTTAGATTTAGATACGAGAATAGCAATGCTGTTGAAGGATAAGGCAGGTGGAATGGCCCCTCCTTTTTTACAATTTGGTAGTGATTCCGAAGATGATAAAAAATCACAACACGGCGATAACGAAATGCTTTCGGATCCTCCGAGTCCGTTTATATCTCAGGAAGCATACAAATCTTGTTTCGAAAAAATGAGAGAAAAAAACAAGGAAAGATGGAAAATTCGTGAGAACAATTTAAATCAGTTTTCCGTCGATGAAGAATTAGGCAGCGTTATCAGTTCTAGCGAAGATGAAGCCTTGTTAGGAAGTTACAGTCCAGCACCGGATGAAATTGAACCAGAACCACCTAAAGAGCCACCGCCTCCTCCACCACCTGACGACGACAGAATGTCTTTGAGTCCATTGAGTTCGGGAGATGAAAAAATAGAAGAGGTAACAATATTTTTGTAAAATAAAGTAACAATAATTATGAAATTGAAGAAAAAACAAAACAATTTGACAACAGGTTATCGCTCAACCCGAGCCTTCGAGTCACTTATATCCAGGACCTGGTTATCCTGGCCATATAAGTCATTATCCATCCGGAGACGTTTATAGTTGGCCTAGACCAGCCCAATATCCTTATCCTTATGGAACGACCTATTTGCAAAGCCATTACCAACCTACCACGGCATCCTTATCGGGAACAGTTGGAAGTCATCAAGGGACAAGTTATTATTCGTCTTTCCAATCTCGTTTGCAGGCCATGGCAAATCATAATATTACTAAAGATAATCCGCAGGTAAGTGTTGTTATTTAGTTCTTCTCTTTACACTGATAATTTTATATCAAATTGTATTATATTTAGGGTCCTACCATCAATGGTGTATTAAACAGAGTTGTAAATGAACTGAAACAAATTTTAAAAAAAGATTTTAATAAGAAAATGGTAGAAAATACTGCATACAAATTATTTGAAGTTTGGTGGGATGAGAAAAAATCAGAAAAGAATCAAACTCAAGGGGGTGACATTGCTGTTATTAATAGTACTAATAAAGAAGAAAATTCAAAACCGCAAGGACTTTCATTACTTTTGGAACAAGGAACACCATTGGGTCTCAATTACGATGGATTTGGTTTGGGTATCAGAGCTAGTATGCCAAAGATGCCTTCATTTAGGGTAAGCAATGAGATACAAATATTTTCCCAAAAGTCTATCAAATACAATATATCTATATTTTGTTGAACAGCGTAAAATTAAAGCTCCGAGTCCTTTACCTCAAGACGAAGATAGTCATCAATCCGATCGCATTGATACGGAAATCATAGAAAGCGATAGCGATTTGGATCTACCACCGGTACAGAAAGTTAAAAGACCAGTTTCTTCTCTTCCGAGCGGTTCTTCTTCCTCGTCATCATCTTCATCCACTGAAAGTTCTAGCGAAGAAGCTAGTTCCAGCGAATCTTCTAGTAGTTCGAGCGAGAGTTCGGATGAAGAAAATTCTGATGATGAGGTACGTGAAATGTGTCAAACATTAAACCAATATCCATAATCTTTATTCATTTGTTTCTTTATCTTATTTATAGCAAGACACGGATAGTCGCATGTCCGATCATCGTCCCTTGGCTTGTAACAGCGAAGATCCAGATATATTAATGGAACTGGCTATTCAAAGATCTTTGGATTGTCCTACTCCAACTGGTAGAGATACTCCACTGCCAGATATAAAAATAATAGATCTAAATTCTGATGAGTTCCCTGAAATAGATAACAGCGAGAGTCCATTACCACCTTCTCCAGAAAAATATGAAAATGATAAGGAAACGAATGAAAGATTAAATGAAAATTATCAAAATAAGATAGAGGAACAACAATTGGAAACATTAAAGCCTATAGATGTTAATGCGAACAAACCGAGGTTAGAAAATGATGTACAGCAAAAACTTAATACGTATATTGCCAAGTTACCGCAAAAAGAAGAGATTCAACAAGATATGAAGAAAATGGAAAGCTCAGCTGCAGAAGCACTGATTACATTAGCTGGCCAGGATAATATTATACGGCACAGAAGCCCAGGGCCTATCGAACCTAATATCATTAGAACTCTTCAAACATTGTCTGCCAAATACATTAATGACGAACCTATTCTTAAGGAATCGGAGAAAATTGATATGTTTAGTGAAATTCCTACTACAGATTCGGAAGAGGAAAGTCTCGAAATTAGAAGATTAAAATTCCAAGCAGAAGTCGATCTACGATTAAATGGTCAACAAAGCCCAAGCTCGCCTGGTTCACAGGCATCTCAGGTTTTTATGGAACATTCATATTCTTTACCACCAGCGCTTCCAGAACCCGTGGAACCTGTTGTTCGTATGAATGCACCACCGATAAAGATAAAAGCTTCAAAGGTTGTCAAATTAACGAAAGGAAAAGATAAAGTGCATAAGGTTGAAAAACGAAAGTTGAGTAAATATCCCAAAATACATGATCTTCAGAAACACGAAGGAGAGAAGGAAAATATTCAAAATGAATATGTTTATGAAAGATATGTTAGGAATATTCAAGAACCACCAGTAGTATATAAGGAAAGGGATTTAATGTCAGAAATGGGTATTTTGTACGAATTCTTGACCAGAGGTATAGATGCGGAAGATGTTGAATATTTAAGAAGAAGTTACGAAGCCTTGCTAGCGGATGACGCTCAAGGATATTGGTTAAACGATACTCATTGGGTTGATCATCCTGCGACAGATATACCAAGTCCAGCTAAGAGAAGAAAACGAGACGAATTAAGATTACATGCAACTGGAAGCGCTAGAACCGAGGGATACTATAAAGTAGATCTAAGGGAGAAAGCAAAGCATAAAGTAATTCATTTTTCTTACTAAATTAAACATATACCAAACCCCCTCACGTGTTCGTTTTCATATCAGTCTCTAAATAATTGAAATTATAATTAAATTCAATGTTTTCATTCTTTGCAGCATCATTATGCACAAAGTATACAACGTTCCAACGACGTAGAGGAGAGTAATGGTACTTATACAGGAGGAGATGGTATAATAAACGGTCCAAAGGGTAATACGAAAGCATTAACTGGTAAGATGCAAGCTTTGTCGCGAGAAGCGCGAAGTAATCAACGTCGCCTTTTAACTGCATTTGGAATAGACACGGACAGCGATCTCCTTAAGTTTAATCAATTAAAGGTATGTAACATTATTCTATTATTATTTTTTATGCAAAGGAAGGTTTATGTTATCATGTTATTATTACATTGCAGTTCAGAAAAAAACAATTGAAATTTGCGAAGTCTGGCATTCACGATTGGGGTTTATTCGCTATGGAACCGATTGCAGCAGACGAAATGGTTATAGAATATGTAGGACAAATGGTTAGACCAGTTGTTGCAGATTTAAGGGAGTCTCAATACGAAGCTACAGGCATTGGTAGTTCTTACCTATTCCGTATTGATTTGGATACGATCATTGATGCAACTAAATGCGGCAATCTAGCAAGATTTATTAATCACAGTTGCAACGTGAGTATTTACCCCAGGTTTTCATTCCGCCGATATTTGACTTCTAATTCTTTTTATATCATCAACGCATTTTTCAACATTTTTTTAGCCAAACTGTTATGCAAAAGTAATTACTATAGAAAGCCAAAAGAAAATTGTAATCTACAGTAAACAACCGATAGGAGTTAACGAAGAAATAACTTATGATTACAAATTTCCATTGGAGGATGACAAAATACCCTGCCTTTGTGGAGCTCCGCAGTGTCGGGGTACTCTCAATTAAAAAGTTCACATCGAGCTACATTGTTCGTCCCTTTTTCCTATCTTCTACATTTCACCATGTCCTGCTCTCATATTTTTGTAAATATTTCTTCATGTAAACATTTTATAAAAATGCTATCGAAAAATACTAAATTATACTTGTGAGACTTTTCTTAAAGATCATTCTTTATAAATGATTCTTAAGTCAACGAGATATGATAGTACATGAGTCGTTGTAATTTATAAACTACTAAGTTGCCAAATTCTTTATTACTGAGTTCAAATCGTTTATTTTATATGAGTTATAATGCACAGATTTGAATCGTTTTTTACTTGTGTCGATTATCTACATAAGAGTATCTTCAAGATATCTATCTACTAGAGAGAAATATATTTATTGTTTATATTTTTAATGACCATTCTATTCGAGTAACTATCGAGACGGAACGAAGAATACTGTCGTTTTATTAAACTAAATTCAAACAGAGATAAATCTTTATAAATAAGTTTTTATTTTTAATTAACGAGATGTAATCACCCCTCTTTATCAATAACTTTTTGCTATCTAGTGTGCAAATTTTCATTGCCGGATCAATAAAAATCAATTAATTTTCAGCAAAATATCTAGAAATAGCAGTAAAGATCTGCATCTACAATTTGTTCAGGTTTCAGCAACTCGAAATGAACGACCCCAATAATATTCCACAACTTTTCATCTCCAGTGATTACCGGATTTAAATTTGGAAAATCACATTTGGCATTTACAAAGATCTGGATGCATTTGGATAAATATCACAAATGTTTTTGCTAGCAATACCCTTGTGAAATTAATAAAGCATTAAATGTCGGATATGTACCTCTTCTGGCATATGGCTGACCTTTTTAACATAAATTGCAACCAAAAATATAAGATTGAATTATTGACGAGTAAACAAATCACTTTAACCATAAAACATCTGTGGCACAATCTTAAAGTATACAATCAGCTGAAAATGACAAATAAATATCGACGTATATTCGATGTAATATTATGATACCCAGTGGTATTTAAACTCTTCAAAAAAGTAATTCAATTTATAAATAATATCAATTTTTGTACTTTATCCAAGCCTAAGTAATTCGATGGTTACTAATTTTGATTTCATTTGCATAACTAATGAAAACAGTAATTGTTGAATATGAATGATACTGACCCTTTTCCTATTTCTTCTATTTATTAAAATTCTGCTAATCTAGGATGAAAATAAATCTCAATTATTATACTAGTTACTTTTATCTACTTTTCAAATGAAATTCCTCAATGTAACTGAAAATATAGTTGATGTGGCGCGCTCTAAGATACCTAAATAAAACTTTTCATTGACCAATCAGAATATGAACACTATAAGAAAGTAAAATGAATATTTCATTAGATGTTACTATACGATACGAGTTTCCGATTGGATGGACAGATTATTGTAACTAATCAGAATATTTGTTTACAGTAGAAATTACACGTGCGATCTTTAATGATAATTAGAGAATCAGCGTTCTTGGTAAAAAGAAACGATAGTTATTAACTCGATATGCTATCTCATTTCAAACCGATTTGTGAGATATATTGTTTAACGTCCCATTCAATGGATTAGTCTTGAATATTGTATACCGTTTGCTTCATTTTTTTTTAGTAATTTTGCAATCTTATCATTTGATACGAGTGGCATTTAATATAAATAATCTATATATATGTATTTTTAACAGTTTAAATAAAATTAGTATTACGAAAAGAACGTACGATTTCTAAAAGGGAATATTGAACGTATAAATAAATAATAAACTAATTTGCCAATCATCATAACTTCGAGCCGGTCAAAGTTTAATCAAAGATGGAAACGCATGTTGAACTTATTGCTGAACTTCGCGAAAAATTCTTTAAAAAATTGGAGGAAGAAACACCATCTGATCCTAGTATGTTTATCGACATTCTTATTCTTTACAAATTAATTATTTCTAAACTTTGTATTATTTCTGTCATACATATAGAATTGCTTCTATTATTCTTCTAATTGGAAATAATTCATAATAATTGATTATGAGTGGACAAGTTGATAAGTGTATATATACGTATTTAATATATTTATCAAAAGGAAATAAAACTTTGAAATAGTCTTCATGATTTTAGAGTTTACGTTTTGACATATTTATAATAATATTTATTCATTTTGAATATATTATAGGAGGTTTCCATCCAGCTGATATTGTTAGAATAAAACATAGTGATGATTGGTTAAAAAGATTTTTAGAACATAATGAAAATGATTTAGAAGAATCTTTGTCTATGCTTTGGGATACTTGTACTTGGAGAAGAAAAATTGGTGCAAATGGTAAGTATCACATATTAACTTAAATTAATTAAATTATTCGAAAATATTATGAGAAATAATCAATGAAACATAATAATTTATTAATATTATCTTCTGATTTCTATATTTAGATATTTCAGAGGATAATGTGAACTATTTAGAAGACGGAGTGGTGTTTAATTATGGTAAAGATAAAGATGGGAAAAGTCTCCTTATCATTAAATCCAAGCAACATGTAAAGGGAGTAAGAGATTTTAGTGAAATTCAGAGATGCATTGTTTATTGGTTTGAAAGATTAGAAAGGTAAAGTTATTTTATATCTAACAAATATCTAACGTTTAATTTACGAGTGTACAGAGTGCATTCAATCATCTATTGTTTATGTTTGTAGAGAAGGAAATGGAAATCAAATATCAATATTTTTTGATATGGCAGAGACTGGACTTTCTAATTTAGATATGGAATTCACTAAGTACCTGACTGGTTTATTCAAATGTTATTATCCAAATTTTTTAAATTATATTATAATATTTGAAATGCCATGGGTATTAAATGCAGCTTTTAAGATAATAAAATCATGGTTACCTGCTAAGGCAATACCAAAGATAAAGTTTGTTAATAAATCTAATTTAAAGGATTTCGTTGATCCAAATGATATACTTAAATGTTGGGGTGGTACAAATGATTATACTTTCGTTTTTGTACCAGAAGAACAAACAAGCACAGAAAATGCAATAAATGACAAACTTGATAGCAAAAAGGTATCTATCTTTTATTCGAATGTCGTTAACAGTATAATTTTGTTGCATTATTTATTTATAATTATCAAATTACACAGGTACATTTTGTAGAAAATTCTCCCTTGACGGAACAACCTCCAAGTGGATTTGGAGATCAAGTAAGTGAAGAACAATGTAAGTACACCTGAGATTTATAGATATAGATAAAGGAATAAAATTGCATTGTATTGTAAAAAACAGTTTTTTTCTTTTAATTCCTTTTTTCAGTTCTCTCAATCGAACCAGAAGCAGTTACGTTCAACAAGGAAGGGAATGAAATCATTGCTAGGATCATATTAAAAAATGTCACAACAGACAAGCATTTGTCTTACAAGGTGCAGTTTAATACAATTGTTTGTCGTGTATATTAATAATGATTAATTTAAAAAATATATATATTTTAGATTAAAACTACATCGCCGCAGAAATTCAGGGTAAGACCTAGTTCAGGTATTATATCTCCTTCCGAACGGTGCAGCGTTACAGTTGTTTTTCAACCAGGATACAATCTACGTGGTCTCTCGAACAATGATAGATTTTTGGTAATGTGTCTTCCTGTTAAAAATTCTACTGCAACTACTCAAGAATTAATGGCGATATGGAAGGTATTATTTAAATATATTGGAAAGTTATTATATAACATAAAATCTAATGTCATATAATTTGTTGTAATAATTATTCATTTAATGTATAGTCTGGTAAACCTGCCGAGCAACACAGATTAAGATGTTACGATGGAGCAAACGAAAATAATGAAATACAGAAAACGTATTCTATATTATCATCCGGTTCTACAGAAGAAAATCGTATGATGGATGCACTTTGTTCTAAGGTATATTGAATCAAAATAAACATATTACATTTTGGATACATATATTTCTCCATTAAATTATATATTAAATGTTGTATTTTATAGGTAATTCATTTGGAAGAAAATTGTAACAAGTTATACAAGGAATTAAAATATTTGCAAATATTCTCTATAATATTAACAATCGTTATGGCAGTTGCAATTATATATATCTTAAGAAGTGCTATACAAAATACTGATCTTGAAAACTGCCATATTCATCGTGGTATATAAAATATGCTAATTTGTGAAATTTAGCTTAAAATATATGGGACAATTTCTTGATATGGTTTCTTTATAGGATTCAAGCATTTAGGCATGGATACGTTTTGCTAAGTTCTTATTCTTTTTAGATTATTATGGGAAAACAAAGAAACAGAAAAAAGATTACTATTATAGAATTACATTTATTTCAAATTTCTACTATGTCTAATATGTTTTCTTTTCCTATTTATTTATTTTAATGTTGAATAATAATTTGATGAACTTTGTTATAAAATACAGAGAAATTTAGAGAAAATAGAGAATAAAGATAAAATAAATATGTATATATATATGTATATATATATATATATATATATATATATATATTNTATCCATTTGGAAATGGCAATGTATAGATATATAATTGTTTATTTATTTATTGTGAATTTATAGTAATTAATTTTATTTTGTTTACCCCTATTTTTAAAGATCTTGGAATTCTTTATTATATGGCGAATGTTTTATATTTATATACTTGTAATGCAATATAATTTGATGGATAAAAAATATTCGAAAAGGATATCTACAAATAAAATCGAATTTTTAAAATTCCCGCTCTTGAAATATAATGACGTTTATAAATATATCGGAAAAAGAAGGTTGCGATTGGATCTAGAAGAAGCTGCTAATAAATGCACTTCTTACGATATTCATATCTTCCCGCTTTTTCTTCAGTGCATCGATATCGAAGGCTCGATTTTATTTAAATCGATTATTCAAGGCGCATATTCAACGAATATTTGCAATCGAAAGAATTCGTTGGATAAGAAGGTAGAAATTTATGCGATTAGGTTCCATAAAACTAAAGGTGATTTGAAAATGCTTCGATGGCCGGAAATAGCGGAAACGGGGAGGATAGTGACATTACTAGTGGCAATGGTGGCAGCAGTCGTCCGGTGTAAACACGACGAATGACGCGTCCTACCGCGCAGCTGCCAACACGCAGCATTTGAACCTTCCTTACCACTTTGTAGTTCGATCAGCCATATTGCCTTCTGGATCTTACACAACGCCCTCACACGAACGATCGCGAGTTTACGAGGTAAGGGAATATTTCGATATTTAAGCTATCGTGGATGAGCACGCTTTGTGCGTACGACGAGTTCATTTATTCTTTTATTCGAACATTCAAGATTACGGTCGTAAGCAACGACGTTCACCGATACTGAAAGAAACGCGGGAAATAAGTGTTGTAAGCGCGTAGCAGTACGGAAGGTATTCCTCTCGGTCGCGTCCTCCATATTGATGACAGCGCCGACGGTGATAATTTTGTGAAATTTTTGTCGTTAATGCCCCCTGTGTCCTGAAATCGAAAGCAACCACGTTGTCTTAAGAGCTCCCCGACAGAATGCGCGACTTCGGGCTCCTCGACGTCGAAAAGACGCGATCACGGACTCCCCCCAGGTCCATCCTCGGCCACATTTCTTTCCTCTATCGAGCCCAACTTTTCCCTTTCCGAACGACTCTCGAACGAACCCTCCTCCGGGGGGCCCGCTCGACTCCTGCTCGACTCCTGGTTGGCTCCTCCTCTGGAGCTCCTCTGGAGCTCCTAAGGGGTTCCTAACGAGCTCCTCCATAGCTTCTCCATAGCTTCTCCATAGCTTCTCCATAGCTCCTCCATAGCTCCTCCATAGTTCCTATATGGCGTCCTTCTCTTCCTCCTTCCACTCTTCAATTATCTTTTATGTACGTTTCCTCGATGCACCTATTTTTTGTCCTTGCAAATGAACGAACCTTTCGAAATTATGTAGTATTCAATCGGCCTTCTTTTCCCCCCTCCTCCCCCTCCCCTTTCCTCTCGATCCGCTCTTCTACGCGAATCGCCTTCTCCTTTTCTTATCATGATTATTGATTTTCCTTTAATTTTAAAATACCGCTACGATTTTCGCGTTTTATCGCATCGTCTTATCGGCGTCATTCTTTTATTATTTCCGGTATATTTTCTAGTTTGCTTTTTTCCTTACGACATAATTCCATTCACTTCATTCACACATATGTAATCGCGGTATTTGTCCCCTTGTTATGTTTCATGTTATTACATTATTTTTGTCTTGTGATCGATTATTATCTTCCTTAACTCGTAAATGTATGTTTCCCTCATGTATGCATTCCCTTAAGATCACATGGGAATGAGAATCACGGGATGTAAAGCATAAAAATATGTTTTCTCTCGCATTTCGTGCGATCCACTTGTAGATTCGTATGATTGAAAAGCATTATTCTTAAGATAAACCCATTTATTTGAAGTCATTCTAATGAGATAAACACCACTTCCAATTATACAATATGTTTCTTTATTGATTTTCTTTCTTATCAAATATGCAATTAATCTTTTTTATTTTATTTCCTATTATATATTTAGTATAGAAAATGAATACTGATTAAAGTCATCATTATACTTGTATACAAAGATATTATAATAATTACTTTTAATTTGAACCCATTCTTATAGCAACTCAGTATCTACTTTTGAATGGTTTGTAATTTACAAGCAATAGCGTAATAGATATCTCTATATTAATGTTGCAGACTTGTAAGAAAACAAACTGTCGCATGAATTAATGGAATGATCATGACGAGCAACGTTGCAACAATAAAATTGGAAGAGGGACAAGAATCTGTAAGAGAGATTCAAACCTATCTTGAAACATTTAACAAGGAAATAGAAGTCGGACAAGTAGAGCAACCACAACATGTTGAATGTTAGTTATTATAGTTAAATTATATTACACCATTCAACAATCATAAATATGTAAATGGAACTATATAGATATATGTATGCATTTGTAATTATAGTACATCAAGTGGAAGGATTATCAGGAGGAGAAGAAGGTGGTACCTACTTTATCGATCAGACTGGTCAATATTATTATCAGGCTAATAGCGATGAAACCCCTGTAATGACACAAGTACAAATTCAAGAAGTTGAAGAAGGCGATGTTCCTCAAGAAGGTGAAGTAACTCAAGAAGAACAATATCATGAGATAGAAGAATTGGAAAATGTCGATGGGGATGAAGACGTAAGATATGATCTTCACTTGATTTTACTTTAACATTTTATGCCTAAATTTTGTTATTACAAGTTATTTGTTGATGTATCTTTAGGGTCAAGTTCCAAACAACGGAAACAATCAAGTTGTAATTAACTCTGGGGACGCATATCAGACTGTTACTATAGTACCATCTGACACTAATCCTGGCGAAGTGAGTTACGTTTTGATAGTACAACAACCAGAATCTGAGGACAAAGATAGTAGACCTGCTGAAGGTGAAAGCGGAGAGGTAGAAGAAGCAGAAGGGGAACAAGATTTAACTGTTTATGATTTTGAAGATAACGAGGATAACGAAGCTCCAGTAGAATCAGAGGCTGAAGATGACAAAACTAAAATAATTAAGTTTCTTCCAAAGAAATCACAAACTGTAACTCAAGCGCATATGTGTAATTACTGTAACTACACCAGTCCCAAACGGTATGTTGAATTAAAATCATTTGTTTCATTCTATATATATATATAAATATATATATATATGTGTAAACTGAAAAGTGATTTAATATTCAGGTACTTGCTTTCGCGACATATGAAATCTCATTCAGAAGAAAGACCACATAAGTGCAGCGTCTGCGAAAGGGGATTTAAAACTTTGGCTTCCCTTCAAAATCATGTCAATACGCATACCGGGACCAAACCCCACCATTGCAAATTTTGTGATAGCGCGTTTACTACATCCGGTATGTAGCGTTTCTTAAATGATTTTTCTTCAATCTTTATATTGAATATCCAATATTGAATATCAATTCAATGACTGCTCTTTTTTAAGGTGAACTTGTGAGACATGTAAGGTACAGGCATACCCATGAAAAACCACATAAATGTCAAGAATGTGATTATGCTTCGGTTGAATTGTCTAAATTAAAACGACATATAAGATGTCATACGGGAGAACGTCCTTATCAGGTACTTTCTATGCAGTCTCCTTTTTGTTAGTTTCTTAAATTGGATCCTTTTACAAAAATCTCTCTTTTTAATGATTATCTTTTATTATTTTTAGTGTCCACATTGTACATACGCAAGTCCAGATACCTTTAAATTAAAACGTCATCTTCGTATACATACAGGCGAAAAGCCATATGAATGTGATTTTTGCCAAGCGAGGTTTACACAATCAAATAGTTTAAAAGCACACAAATTAATACATAATGGTAAATACGTTAATTAATGTTTTCTTAATAATAATAATTTGACTATTCTTTAATCGTTTTCATTTCATATTACTTCTCTATTATATTTTAACATACTATTCGTGTACAGAAGTAACATCATACATTTCGTAGTAGGTGACAAACCTGTTTTTCAATGTGAGTTATGCCCCGCGACGTGCGGAAGAAAAACCGATCTTAGAATTCACGTGCAGAAATTGCATACCTCGGACAAACCATTAAAATGTAAAAGATGTGGAAAAACATTCCCTGACAGGTAATAAATAAAATAATAGATATATTTAATATTTATTATATCAGAAATCGCGCTTAGACATTTTGTTTTTATATTCTAGGTATAGCTATAAGTTACATAGTAAAACACATGAAGGAGAAAAATGTTACAAATGTGACCTATGTCCGTATGCATCAATTTCTGCACGTCACTTGGAAAGTCATATGCTGATCCACACAGATCAAAAGCCATATCAATGCGATCATTGTTTTCAGTCTTTCAGACAGAAGCAATTGCTTAAACGTCATTGTAATCTTTATCATAATCCATCTTATGTTCCTCCACCGCCGCAAGAAAAAACTCATCAATGTCCCGAGTGCGAAAGACCTTTCAGGTTAGTTTGCTTTCTAGGATATATTATTTTTCGCATTTATAATTAACATTATACAAACAAAAGAAAGAGAGTGAAACAATTATTTGTTTTATCAGACACAAAGGAAACCTTATTCGACACATGGCTGTCCATGATCCAGAATCATCTTTGCAAGAAAAACAGCAAGCCCTGAAGATGGGTAGACAAAAGAAAATTCAAATAATCGATGGACAAAGAGTCGAAGTTTTGACTGGTATGATAACGTGTTCATATTTATTGTGTTTGGTCTTTATATTTATTTATTAATAGTTTACGAGCATATGCATATGTAATTTCATGATCATAAAATAACACCTAATTGATAGTTAAGAATAACACACAATTGGTGGCTAAAATAACGCGTAAAATGATATTAATTTTTTAGAAATTATAGAAAGTTTAATAAATTTATTATTGCGAGCGCGAAATGTTATTACAAATATATTATGTATATGTTCATTATTTTACAAGGAAACTTACGATATGATGTAGACATACATCATTGACTAATATCCATGGATATATGTTGTGATAACAGGTGATTTAGCTTCTAAACTTAAAGGTTATGAAGAAGAAGAGGAAGAAGATGAAGATGATATGATGGCGGTAGAAGGAAGTGATGGACAACAATATGTTGTATTAGAAGTAATCCAATTAGCTGACAATCAAAGCACCGATCAGGTAAATAGCTTAAAATTTAAGAAAATGCTATGATCCGTATTATTATTAATACATTTACATATGTAGCAGATGGCTGTGGTAGCTAGCGAAGATGGAGATTTGGTGATGCAAGATCCCTTGAGTCAAGAAAATAGTATGGGAGATGGAACGGGAGAAGATGGTTGCGAAGTCGAAGAGGATGATAGCGATATGCAGGAACTAAAAATTGAATCTGTAACGTCTTGTAGCACAAACAAGTCTACATCTCAAAGTACGCAAAGTGATCCGAAATTGCAAAAAGAGATGGAGACGTGTTTTGGTTTTGATGAAGTAAGTTATTTTATTATAAATATCTAATCAATCTTTTATTTATCAATCTTTCAGAGATCTATAACATAGTAATATTATTATCATTAATACAATAAAGCTATGTTTATCTCTGTGCTATTTTAGGAAGAAGAAGAGGAAGAAGAAGGAAGCAGTAATATAAACATTTTACAAAATATTTCGTAATAAGAGGAAGAACAGAATGATGTACCTATTTAAATAATAGTCCGATCGTTCTTCTTTTGCACAGTGTTTACACAGTGATGTATTGAATGCGGAGACTGCAAATTAAATGTATTATGATTTTTTAACACAACTGTGTGTTACCGTTAAAACGTGAAATTCGTTATTTTATGAAATAATCAGTAAGACGGCAGAAATACATACTAAAATATGTACAGTTAATTAAAACTAAGTAATATAAGAATTCACGAAAGGCGAGTCATTAAACTCATTAAATATCACGATGATAGTTTAATCACGTCGTGATCAAATTTCAATTTGATATTTTAATTATTCATCTTTAGTGAATTCGCATATATTACCTGGTTACTTAAAGGATAGCCTGAATTATACACTTTAACGGTAACAACTATACTGAGTTCCAAGGAAACTTTTCTGGAGCTATTGCGGTCCACATACGGCATATGTATGGTACAAGAATCTTCTTTTGCCACTAGTGCATTAGATACATGTAATAATTTATGAAAATACTGTAGTTTTGTGGTTTAGCGAAATATCATGAAAATGTACAATTATAATAATGTAAAATATTTTATTGTCAATGAGATTTACTAACTCCTTTAAAATTGAAAATGACATTATCGAATTAAGAACAACGTGTGTCAATAATATAAAGAATTATACTAGTAATTCTAGTTTAGCACAATATTTTTAAACAAATTATTTAAGACTTTAAGACAATATCACGACGGCAATTCTGAAGAAGGCAGAATTTTTTCAACTGCCGTGAAATATAAGTTATATCAAGAAGAGTCGTGTGATGTTACTTTGTAAATACTGCTTATTGTCACATTGTTTCAAAGACAAATATGAAGTATTAGAATAAGTAGTATAAAATATGAATGAAGTGCTTGAGTCTTGTCTATGTAGACAGGCTGAATGATTAATATGAGCATGTTCTTAAAGTGTGAAAGATTTAGTTACAAATGATGACACTTTGGAAGTTTCAAATGTAGTTAATAATCCTTGGTTAACCTGGAAGACATTGAGTTGATATTTTGAATGTACTTTGTTTGATACTATCAGAAAATTAGTACTGTAGTATAATGGCTTGAGTCATTATTAATATTATTAATAATGATTATAATAGTACATAGGCAAATCGTTACTTTAAATACACACACACCACACAAATATATGAAAAAACAATTTCTCTCTTACAAGTGCACGCATAATAGCATTTTTCTAACGACAAAACAATAATCCTTGGTTGGTATTGTGTAATCTCTGTTTATAATAGATACAAGGTCCGATGAATAATAGTAAAGTGAAATCTATAGAAAAGATTCTAATATAATGAACTGACATAATGTATTAGGAAATGCGAATTGTTCTATCTGTGGTGTATCATTTAGTTTGATTATTCAATATTATTACGCTTAGAAAATATAATGTCTATAATAAATAGAAACACAATACCATCCGAGGTAGAAATTATATTAGCAATAAATAATACGAGTTTCGTTTCGCGTCAATTTTCATAATTATTTAATAATTATTTGTATATTCTCAATTAACTGATTGTTTTTCTTTTATCTCACACTATCTCTCTTATATTATATTATATTAAATAATGAAAATGCTAAATATTGTATAGTATTGCTTCCAGGTTAACTTGGCAGAGCAGGCATATGAAATATATACAAATACATAATGTTATTTTAAATTTTAGGGTAATCACCTTAACATATATTTATGTTTGGACAATATAAGTCCTACCATTTGATATTTATAATACTATTTCATTGTATTTTAGAATTATTATTTAGATTCTTTTCATATAATTTATGTTTACGATTATATATTGAATACTTTGCATTATGTCAATATAAAATTCTGTCTTACATAAGTAATTGGATAAAATGCGAATTTGCACTCGTTTAAAGAATGCGATGTTGTAGTTCGTTGTTCGTATATTGTTGCCCACAACTTGCTTTCTTCATACCTCCGAGGTAAAATATACGAAAAATGTAAAAACTATGTATAATTTTTTTTACATACGAACTGTACAATTGTAATCTAGTAACGGATCATCACTTTTATGCTGTTCAATATTATGCACTTTCTTACATTATTCCAAAGAAACGCAGTGTAGCATTTTCTCTATAATAAACGTTATGACGTCGATAACATTTTTTAGTCGATTCATTTAATGTTTTATATTTATTTCACGATACGTTTAAGGAGAAAATGTAACGAACAATTATCAGAAAATAATTCTCCCTGGACATTACACATTTGTAAAAATTTGCATTATTTATGCGAATATGGCTGTTTTGAGAATAATCAATAAAAATCTTTCTTATAAAAGGTATGTGGTTTATAATGGTAAGTAAGAGGTAATAAATAATATAATATTTTCCTCAAAAAATACTTTTTTAATACTATTCCTATTAAATATAATCATTTGTGCAAGAATATATAATACAAATGTTGATTTTCATCATAATTTCTATTATCAATGTTTCTTTCGAAGATTTATTTGTTTCATTTAGTAGATATTATTTACGGATTGTAAATAGAAATTTAACCATCCGATTACTGTAACAGTAATTAACAATCTATCTTTAAAATAACATATCTTTTATTATATCACTACTTTAGTTAATGTTAAAGTCACAACGTTTATACAAATAATCGCGTAAAAATAAGATTGTTTTTAGGCAAAATATATCTAATTACTGAAAAGCTTTACAAAATGTGTAATTTTTTCAAACGAATACAAATTTGATATTTATTTCAAGCACAACTCGAAGAAGAATCAAATATATCCGATTTTTTTTTGATAACTAATTAAAAATAATCCTATATATATATATAAATATTAGTTGTCTTTCCCTTTTTATTCGCGACGAAGATTTTCAAGTCTTGCTTGAAGATCTGCATCGGCATCTGCGAGACTTCCATCGTCGTTTCCTGCAGTAGCTGCGACCGGTTGTTTTGATCCTGCTATACTTAAAGAACCGGAAGCTTGAGGAAGTCCGGATAATTGATCTGTTAATTGTAAGCCTAACTCATCTAGTACTTGAGATACGACGGCATCGCTGTAATACGATATTAATAGCTCAAAGTTCATATGTCCATCGTATAAAATCGCAAACAATATTAACGTCTAACGTTAATTTTATTTTCATGTTTAATTCTAATGAAAATTGATATTACCTTTCTTCCTCATCTCCTTCATCTTCCATAGCATCGTCTATCGCATCATTCATAATTTCTTCCTTCATATCCATTATTTCTGATTGTTTCTCAAATTCTTGCAAAATTTTTTGTATTTGAGGTAAATTTAATTGTCTGAAAATAAACAATAATAATTTCTAGAGTCTCTTTTAGATAATACAACCAACACATTAACCAAAATGGAGATATGTCATTACTTATTCATATTTTGCATCGCTTTTGTAACACCTTTCATCGCTTGAGCCATAGTATTTTGAGAACGTAATGTTTGAATTTTCAAAGAAACTGCTTGTATATTCGCTTTCATTAACATGAATTTCTTGACATATCGCCTAGTTCTAACAAGATCCTTGGCCATAATTTTAACAGCATCCTATGAGCATTAAGTTTAATAATTATATAGTGGTAACGAATTTATTTATTTCTTTTAAAAGTTTTCATCGTATTCTAACCATCTGTCCATCTTTTGCAAGTTTTTTTATATCTGCTATAATCTTTTTTTCTTGTTGTTCCATCCTCATTCTTTCTCTGTCAAGATCACGCATTGCTTTATTTAATGCTCGTTGATTTTTCCTGAGCATTTCTTCAGGAGTTATACGCTTTCCAAATAACCACTCCATATCTAAAGAAATATTTCATAAGTAAAATCTTCGTCAATAAATATATTAATATGTAATGTTGTAATAGGTTGTATTTTATACGCACTTGTCAATATTTTTATTATTCTATTTGATCCTTATAAGTTTATTTAAAATTGTCAAGTTATGGAAGAGCAAATAAACGTTATTTGCTCTTGGAACTTTTCTGCAAACATATAATATATAATAAATTAATATATTCGCGTTCTCTATACAAAATTTAACTTAAAATGATAATTTTCTTCTTAGAAATTGTATGTTCATTTTATATGAACTTGTTTACTTACAAATTGTATCATTGTCTCAAGATGATTTTTAAATGCAAATGGAAAAGTAGCGCAGGTAGCGTATACTTATACAGTTAATTACCATAAAATAGAATGAAAATATCCAAATAGATATATAGATAGATTTGACATATTGATGAATGAAAATAAGACTGCGAAGATGACTATCAATTAATTGGTGTAATAAATTGAAATTGCAAAATGATTTTGGATCTTTTTCATTGAATGAAAATCAAGGAATAATAATCAAAGTTTTCACTGCTTTTCATGATGATAAAATACTATCCATGTTGACATGAAAAAAGATAAAATAAGGGGAAAATTGGATATACAATAATAACGATTTGACAATCATACCCGTCAGGGAGGTAAACCTGTGAAATTCCCTGTAATATCTTTTCTCTTACGTCTTTCAATCTATTTGGATGATCAGATTTATTTTAAATTAACATATGTTACACTTACTATATCACAACGTTCTTATAAATAATAATCTTGTAAATAATTCAATAATTGTCATTAAAAAACACCCTAAAAGGTATAGCCGGGTTCTCTTGTAGAGAAGAAACATACCACAATGAATGACGCATATCTTAAAGTAGCAGATAAGTAGAACACACGTACGCACGCGACATTACATATTAGTATTAATGTAATTAAATTCTTTGACTGTGAAAATCAGAAAATTTCATGAGATGGATCAACCAATGATAAAATAAGAATCTCTAGGTGGTTGCAAGTAAAAACCAATTAACGAGCACTTATATCAATTTTTATTGTCCATTCATCTGACGTTGTTTTGTAAAACTACCAATAAAAACGCATGGATTGCTCGGATATTAATTGGTCAATGAAAAGTCGCCATAAAATGGTCGCCAATCGGAAATGGAAATTTTGTAGATGTTTATCGAGGCTCGAATTGATCGTCAATAAAATCCCTTGGTTTAAATCGATTACAAGATGCACGATTATATTTTAAGTTTAAAGAAAAGAATAGGCATTTATTGTAATAACGAAATGTCGACAGCCATTTTAAAGTTTCGACTAAATTGGACAATAACTGCGATGTTTTTAGAAATGTCATTTACATGATTGTTTATCCGCCATTTTGTTTTACTGCCGTACGCGCAGTTTTTAGTGGCATTGTGGCTTGCTTTAATATGAATTTATGTCATTAAACTTGATCGAATTGGGTTTGGCACCCTTGTATTTTATGATCTTACAAAAAAAACGTGTTATTTGTATAATGTGAAAATAATATTATTGGGGCGATACCATAATGACAATCCGTGAGAAGGTGCCCCGTCTTTTGACCCAGCTTTCCTGACTTTTGAGGCCAAATGGCGATTACCAAATAAAACGGATGATTTTCGCCCCATTTGTCAAGTAAGTTTACAACAAATACCACTTGTTAATGTCAAAATAGAACAAATTATATCTATTGAATCCGTATTAATGTTTCTCTACATTAGCGACCTCAAAGATCATTTGAATTGTGATACTTAATATCGACACAGCTATTGGTTTAAATTAAAACGTAGTCTATGTTAGACTTGATTTTTATTAAATGTTCTTAGATCTTTTTCGATATTATCTTAATTTACGACTATAATTAAAGGTATAATTGTATATTGATTACCTTTAGGAAAATACGATGTAGGCTATTTTAATATTGCTAATGCTTTTCTATCATATCATGATGTAGATCATAACACTGAATGTTCTTCAGGGATATACAAAATTTTTAAAGTTAACCTTTGTGTAGGTATTTTATTTTTATTTGTATCATATATACAAAATCTATTTCCTACATATATTCGCGTTTATTCTTTACTTTTTATAATTTGTTGTACGACAAAATTATATTTAGGTTATCGTTATTTTCTCTCTCTCTCTCTCTCTCTCTCTCTATATATATATATATATGCATATAACTTGCAAGAAAATATAAAACATTACTATATTTACTGGGATACTATTGAATGTCTTTTGGTCAAGACGAAATAATCTATTCTTGTAGATGTGTATGAAATAATTGTTAATAATCTGTTAATAATGATAAATTCTAAAATTCTTGTATGTTTTAGAATGTCAGGGCAGAGCGGTGGAAAGAAAATATGTTTGTTTAAACTAAACGAACAATTGACATGTAAATTATGCAGTGGTTACTTCATAGATGCTACCACGATCATTGAATGTTTGCATTCGTGTAAGTAATTTTTTTTATAAACATAGATTTATTTCTCTATTATGCAATTAGAATGACATATTTGTACATTATGTATTTGTTTTAGTTTGTAGGAGTTGTATAGTTAAATATTTGGAAAAAAGCAAATATTGTCCAATTTGTGAAGTTCAGGTCCATAAAAGTAAACCTTTGTTGAATATTAGACCAGATTACACATTGCAGAATATTGTTTATAAGGTTGTACCTGGTTGCTATCAAAGTAAGATTATTAATTACTTGCATGAAAATATAAACAAAGTTTGTAGTTAATTAATTAGATACATTTCTAAATATTATATTATTTATTTTAGACGAAATGCGTGTTAGAAGAGATTTTTATTTAAATCATCCAGAGGAACAAAGCAAAGTTTCTCCTGAAGCGCGAGGAGAACCTATAGATTCGCACATATATACGCAAGACGAATCTATCAATCTTTCGTTGCAATATTTTGATCCACAGTCAAAAGATAACACTGATGCGAATCTAACAAAGGAAGCAAAATTTTTACAACGAAGATATTTTCGTTGTCCAGCGGCAGTAACAGTATTTCATTTGCAGAAATTAATAAGAGCTAAATATGGACTCCGCGATGTGCATAGAGTTGACGTTATGTTTAAAGAGGAAGCATTAAATGAAAGTTACACGTTAATGGATATCATGTACATTTTTCATTGGAGGCGGGTAAGTTATTGTTTAATCATTTCAATAGTTTGGATTTAAACGATTTGTAGAATGCAATATGATGATAAATAAAATAAAGATATTGCATATATGTATTTATTTCAGAAAGTGCCGTTACATCTAAGTTACAGGATATTTGAGTCTTCTCCAAAACGAATAAAATTATCAGAGGATAATATTAATTTTAAAAAGTCACTAGTTAACTCTGGAATAGAATGCGTAGAAGCAGAGAATCAACAATTAAATCGTGAATGGAAAGAAGTCCAATTAAAAATATCTGAAACAGGTGTGATGAGTATTACCGATATATCTAATTCAGGGTTAAAGAGAAGTACAAGAATAGAAGAAGTGAGAGATCAAGTAGGTCTGGAAGGAATTATATCGACTGTTGAAACTGCACAGAAATCTGATACTTTAATGACAAATCTAAGTTGTAATAAGGCTATCGAAGATACAACACAAACTATGCTAGGAAACGACATGCGTGTTATAAAGAGTTCCGATATTTTTTTGAATTTGAAAAACTCTCCATCTACCGCAGCAAGTGACCTTATTTTAGAAACGGATTCGACAAGTTCTTTAAATGCTGCTTGTGCTCCCATAAATAATTCACAAAGAGTTAACACAGAAATGAAATCTCTTAAAAATACACAAGATATTAATACAAACGCCAAAAGTGCACAAGAAATAGATGATGCTGCATTTAATAATAATGTACATACGTCGCCTTCGCAAGAACAAAAAAGTCCGGCGCACGTTCAAAAAATATCTAACTCGGTAGAGGAAAGTCAAAACAATGAAACGGATCATGTTAATACCGCTAATGCAGAAGATAAAGAATTGCCAGTAACTAATATTAATAATAATATTAGTACAGGAACAAAGCCTGAAAGTGATAAATATCATGTAAAAAGTGATATTAAAACGGTAAATACAGGATCAAAGATCGATGCATTAAGTGCTAAATTACAATATCAACCAAAAATAAGTCTTATTAATAATACGTATTCAAAAAAAGAGAAGAAAGAGAAGAAGGTACATTTGCATAATGACAAAAAATTAGATATTAAACAATCAGAACGAGTACAGTCTATGGATATGAAGAATTTGCTAGATAACCACAGTACAAAAACACCAACAAATACTACAGTATCTGTATCGAAAGTGACAACTTCGCCAAATACTGTAGTGCAACAAAATCAAACTGGATTGTCAACGACGCAACATACAAATTCATTAATTTCCTCTTCTGCAGTTTCTAATGTGCAAGAAACATCTGAGAAGGATACTTCGACGCAGAGTAGTCAAAATGCAGCCGTCACTGTACAACAAGCTTTAAATTTACTCGACCAAAGGATAAATACTTCAGAACGGTCTTCCATAGAGTCTACTGTAGAAGTAAGTCAACTAACAAATTCGAATGCCAGCGCGAACGCGAGCGTAAGCGCGAACGTGAAAGTACAACAACAAGTACGTAATAACAACAACACATTATTAAATGAAATCCCTGCATGTCTTAATCATAACATAACAACACCCGCAACGAGTCAAACAACTTTAACGTTTCCATACACAGTTCAGGATATAGTGAATACTACGATGTTAAAAAGTCCACAAAAGAACTCTAATGTTTGTTCCACTCAAAAAGTAACGTCTTTACCTGTAAGTAGCGAAAGTATGAATATATCTTGCACATCGGCGTCGGATAATCCACTATGTTCTATACCACACATAAGTATGCAAGCTCCATCTATGAGTATTTATTCTATACCTAGTACATTAAAGAATAGCTATTCTAATGTTACTCAAAGTACAACAACTACAACAATGGCTAGGCAAGAATTATCGAAACCTAATTTTGAAATAAGCGGGGTTTATTCGGTACCACCTTGCCCAGATGCTATACCAATATCGCTAATGAAACCATTTGTACGCAAGCATGAAGTTATAGCAAAGGGCACAAACTTGAATGAAATTTGCGCTAAGATTGGTACATCGGGTTCTAAAATAAATGATATTTGTGCAAAAATTGGAGAGAATTCCAAAGAAAAGAATAAGGCTGAAGGGCGTAATAAATCAGATATTCCAGATTTACTTAAAATAGCAAAGAAAGGAACGGCAACTGTTTCCGAATCAACAGTAAAACACATACCAAATATTCCTAATGTACCAATATTTAGTCCTAATACCAATATACCCGCAGAAAATAAGAATACTCACGTCGCCGTTAAGGATAATACTAACGCTGCTCCAATAACATCGACATCCACGTCAGTGCCAACATCTCACGGATCGCAAAAGATTTCTTCTCTTAAAAAACACAATCAATCGACTGGATACAAGACGTTACGAGATCCACCAAAATCTTGGAATCCTACATTATCAAAAAATAATTATGTTGCAGTTAAAAATCAGACTAAAGAAATGCAAAGTACTCAAAGTACTGCCTCAGAAGGAACAAGTAAACACATTCCATCCAAGCCTGCTAAAATTTTTAAAATGAAAAATATGCCACGGTATTTAGGTAATCCAGCGTCAGGCGTGAAGCCAATGTATGGTATTACAAATGAAACTAAAGAGAAAGAACAGACGAGCTCGAAAGGCACTAGCTTGAACATGATGAAAATTGATCCTAAAACGTTATCGCCAATTGTTTCAACGTCCAATTCTCCCATCGTGTCTCCACCACCTTATTCACCTAATGCACGTAGTTATCAGAATACTCCATTTTCGAGAGAGATGTGTAGAAATACAAATTCACCTATATCTCCAAGAAATTCACCGGTTAATATGCTCTCGACTAATCCATTTATACCATCTCCTACTCCAAATACTAATCCAAGGTTAATATATTCTCATTTTCCTCCACCTTTTCCAGATGCAAGCGGCTTTCCAAATCCATTGATAAGATCACCTATTGGCATTCCTCCTCCTAGTGCTTTTCACAGTAGTTTACCGCCTACTATAAATAAACTTTACCAGCGTACAAGTTATATACCACAAACAACTGGCTATTCATCTGTGTCACAACCTCCAACGGTGCAAAGAATTCCTCCGAGTACGCACTCGTCATCACCAAAGTCACCAAAAACTTCCTCCCCCAGTATCATATCAAATTCCTTTAATCCGAGCAAAACTGAAAATACCCAAACCTCTGTAACTGCATCGGTTGATAATGTAGCAGCGCTTTTTCCTAAAAACGTAACACAACAGGATCACAATGCCTTTAATTTATCTAAAAGTGGTACTTTGAGAAGCAATTCTTCTAATTCTACTAAAACTTGTGGAGTCGACGGAATAGATTCGCAAAATTGTAAACAAAATTCTATGGTGACGTCTAGTTGTACCACATCGACAACTCCAAGTAAACAGAATATTATGAATAGCATTACAAAAGGAAAATCGCAGCAAATATTAGAAACAAGAAACATCGGTGATACTGTCGAGCAAAAGAATCAAGATGGTAATAATCAGATGGATGCGGCTTTAAATCAGAAAGAAAGTATTCACTATCCGAACGTGGACTGTAGAAGTACTACCGAACCAACTGATATATGCAAACAAATGGAAAAACAAGAAACAAATATTAAACTCAATGGTGATATTATGGTTGATCATTTTGAGAATACAAACAAAGTTAATGAACACGTGGTAGATGGTAAGAAAATCAAGGAATCTACTAATCAGACTGATGCAAATGTATCTAAAGAAGAAAATGATACGTCTAAGTGTGTTTCACAAGGTAATGTATCTACTGAGAAAACTAAAAAAGCAGAAAACAATGAATCGAAGACAGATGATCTTGAAAAAGTAAACGAACAAGTGCAAAAAAATAATTTGGATGTGCAAAAAAATAAAATTGAGTCATAAGGGTGACACAGGGATTCTGATATTATCAAATGAAATTTATTAATTAATGTCTACGAACAGCTGGATAGAATATAATAGTTGGAAAGATTATTTTTTGTTAGGCTTCATTATAAATTTTAATAATGCTCTAAGCATAGATACAACTTTATTTAATATTAGACAGTAAACTTATTTGATTATATTTTTATTCTTTATTTTATAACGATTTGGAAATGTAATATATTCAACAAGTACTCAATGATGGTACAACATGCATTTGCAAGGCCTGTTGTAAAGAGATAATCATTTGTTGCAGTTTTTTACTTGTATTAATAGGAAATATTATTTGTTATAAATAATCTCTCTCTCTCTCTCTCTCTCTCTCTCTCTAGCCAGTTGTTTATAGAAATAATTCAATTTAATATCATCACTCGTAAGCCATACTTCACGTTATTGTCAATGGTGCAGTACAATAGCATACACTTGTTTATATTATTGAAAATCTATATTACTTGACAAGATAAATTTTGTTCTTGCTATATCATTAGCTTTATACTAAATACGATCAAAATATTGTTTCAGTATAATTTGATTAATTAATTTTAATATTTGTCATTAATTGTTATGAGTGATTTTGCAAGACCAACTTTACAATGTGTACATAATCGTTTCATTATGATTATGAGACTTATATATATTTACAAGATGTAAAATGTAGATTATATTTTAAATTTTTGCAATTCAGATTTTATAGTTGCTATTCAAAAATTGAAACAAATATTCATTCATAGTAAAGATTTGAAGGTTGTTTAATCATGGAGTGTTAAATTTGCTGTTGCAATGCATTCTTAAATAAAAGTTAAAGCTTGTAAAAGAATTTTGATATATATGTAACAATGTGTATGGCTTATATTTTGTTTTGATTATTAGCATGTAATTATATTGCTTCAGAAAAGATAATGTATAAAGATTCATATACAAAATTAAATTATTTTACACAAGTTGACATATTATTGGATAAACAAGAAGTGAATAAGTATATCTATACTGGCTAATAGAATTGCGCGAAAGCAGATGCACTTTATAATGTTGGTGAATTTTAAAAATTTGCTAATGTTTCGTATTTAATAGATTGTAATTAAGTAATGTAAATTGTAAGTTTTTATGTACACGCTTAGTGCTTTTATTTTTATTATTATTTTATTCATAGCTATATAAACGCGTACATTAAGAATACTTGAGTATATTATCTGTACAGCACATAAGATTACGACATAAAAAGTATATTGTTTTATTTTGTAATTTTCTAACAATATTACTAATACTTGAACTATTTTAATTTGTATATGTACAAAAATCTACATTTTAAGGATATTAAAGCAAATATATATATATATACATATATATTTGAAAATATAGATAGAATTGTAGATATAATTCTTATACTTGTCCATATATCTCTATATTTAGTCATATGGAAATATATAAACAAAATTATTATTTTTATTTTCTGTAGAAATAAAGTTCTATTTATCAATTAATAATTAAATATCACTTATTATATATAACACGTTAATTACAAATTCTGTGCTGTACAGGTAAGACTTTTTCTTTCTTTCTTTTCAATTGCTTGAATGATTATCATTTTTCAATTTATATATAT